TCATTCTTTGCAGTTTTAACTTTAACTTGTTCCCAGTTTGCTTAACGCATTCCATATACAACAGATATGGCCAAAAGCCGCTTTTAGGTCCAGAAAGGCTAGGTATATTTATATCATTCTTTCTGTTTACTGTTTTTTTAATTATGGCTCTGAGGGCATACAGTGAAATTCCCCTAACTCGAATCACTAAGGGAGTGAAAGAAAACTTCGAGTTATGGAGAATTCGAATTAGAGAAAAATTAGTAGAATTTCAGCTCTAAAGAAAAAAATTAGAAATGTACTTTTCTAATATGTATATTTAAAACAGACACCTTAATACTATTGTAAGTAGCAAATTAATTTTTTTAAAGTAATCCGTAATTTTCTTTTGGCTTAAAGTGGACTTAGTCTTAGACTTAGTAAGTGCTCTTTGTCGAAAAAATCTTCTATTAAATGTAAAGAATTATGAATATTATCTGGAACATTCTCTCTTGATAATACAAAGGTTTCAATCTTTCGAAAAGCTTCATCAAATGTAGACACAGCGATAAGTATTCCATTTTCAAGATTATCATCGCCTTCTGATTCTTTGGTAAATTCGACTTATAGAAGTAAAAGTTGAAGAAATTCCATAGTAGTTCAGTTCGAGTTACAGAGAAATTCGAGTTCAACTTAGAGAGATAAAAACACATTCGAAAACAAATCAAACGCTTGAGCTTACGAAAATAATTCGACTTAGAGAATAATTCGAGATATAGAAGTTCGAGTTAGGACTGTATATGTGATTCTATGTTTGTTTGTTAGGCCAAAACGTTGGTTGCTCTTTTTCACGTCTATTTTGTTGTGCTAAAATTTTATCCCAATCTTGCGGTTCCCTTTTCATTAGTAATTTTGGTGGTGTGTTCTGACACCTTCATCTGCTACGTTTCCACTTTGGGTTTAATTTAAGACTTCTCGCATATCTTCTACACTCACTTCCTTTCGAGTTTCTATCTGTTCTTCAGTATCCTTTTCTTCCTCCCCTTCTTCTGTAAATCTTGCAGCATAGTAGTCCTTTCATGTTTTCAGTATGATCTTGCTGGTCGTTTATCCGTCTCCATTTTGGTTCATACATTCCATATTTGCTTTACTTTTCACACAGTTTCCTTCCATATACTACTCAAGTTTGCTGTATCCTTCCATATACTGCCCAAGTTTGCTGTATTGCTCATTTCACGGCTTTCCTTGCTTCTTACCTCCTCCGTCGATGTAGTTCCTGCTTTGTGGTTGTTCTTGTAATCTATTTCAAGCTTCTTTTTTCTATTCCATTTTTCCATTCCATTAAACCATGCGGTTCTTGTGGTTTTATTCTATATACTTCGATCGCAACTCCTATCATTGATTATTCCTTCTATCATTGAGATTCCAGTGGTCTTATGTCACTACTTCTTGCTTTTTTAGATGTCTTATGTTTCTATTAAATTCTTCTTCATCCTTCTTCTTTCTTGTATCTCAAGTTCTTTTGTTTTTAGTATCTCAACTTGGTGTTAGCTATCAATAATCAGTGTTCTGCGCTGAGTTCTGCTCCAATTATGGAGCAGCGTGGTTCTCTTCCGTCTGCATCATTTATTATCTTACGAATAGTTTTCCGTTTGAACCACGTGTTTCCTATTAGTAGTTGGTTATTGATGCAGAAATCTAACATTCTTTCGCCGTTGTTGTTCAGTGTCTGTTTTCCCATATCTCTGGTTTTTATCTTGTCCTATTTGGACGTTCCAATAGCCGATTATCATAACATGCTTATACTTGCTTTGTGATTTTAAGTGGTTACCTTAGCTTCCACACTTCATTGATACCCATAATGTGTCTCCATCTCACCTACCAGTTCTGTTTCTTTTTGTATCTATTATTATCCGTTGCATCGCTGGTCGTCTTTTGTTCCAACAATCGTTCTCCAAAGCGCTCGTTACTTCTATGAATCAATTACAACGTCATTTTTACCATTTGATTAACTTCGGCATCGATTAACCTTTGCGTTACTCACTTAATATTGTGATTTGATAGGAGAACTATAAGTGTTTTCATAGTTTAGACTAATAGTTTAAAAAATCGAAACTACAATACAAGTCAACCCAACCTCCGCTTAATCAATAATTTTCAAAATCCAAAAGATAATATGGTTAAAGATACTGATAACTTTTTCAAATCGAATATGCCACATCTTGCTTTCTGTGTCTCTAATATTAATATCATGCAGAGGTTCCACAGCAAGGTTTTATTAATTAAAAAAAGCTATACTTTTGCTATGTTCTTATTTCTTCTCAACCAACATTTATATTTTTTTCAGCTTCAACTCTCATTTTCTCTTAATTTTTGGATTTTATGGTTATTTATTCGAAAATTTTTGACTGAAATATATCTTATAATAATAAAAAAAGTAGTATTGAATGAAAAAACAAAAAGTGGATTATAAAAACCGCTTATACACTTTTTATATCTACTGGCTATTTAAATAACAGGTCTTGAAAACATTAAACTTGTATAATATTTATAAAACAACGCCAATAAACAACAAAACCTTTAAACATAAATAACACGTCTTCAACTCGTGTCTTGCATATCAATTGAAGTTTAATCAATGATCTGTTTTTAAGTGTGTTCAATATCAATAACAAAATTAGGAGCTGAGTAATTATTACTGAAATAGTATATTACTATTTAAAAAGATATCTTTTTTCGTTTTTGAAAACCTTAAACAATTATATGCCATGATTCGGTTAAATTTGAAATCTAACTTTCATAATTAAAAAAGTATCACTTTTCAAATATAAAGTTACAAGATTGGTTACCCAAACTTATCCATAAGTATTTAATGAATCATTGATAAGACTAATCGAGTTGGATAGACTAACGGAGTATAATGTACATACTTACATGGAAATTCTAAAAATAGCAACAAGGTATTTCTACCATTGACGATAATCGTCATCCGGCGATAAGATATCGTCTTGTTATATTCACACAATAACATTATTACAAATTATTCCACAAAAACTTGCGTTTAAAATTTTGTCTACATGATTAGACAGTTTTAAAATTTTACTATTTCGTTTTATAAACCAAAATCTCTACCTTTTTGATGACACATATCCAGATCGAAGATCCCAGCACATCTTTTATTAATGCTTTCTGATGATATCTGAACTTGAACGAATCCATCTGTCATTGCGTCATTAAAAATTACCTTTCAAAAAAATGCCGAAAAAAAAATAACCAAAAAAAAAAACGCCAAAAATAGTTCAATTTGCCAATAACATTGTCATTGTAATCAGATCACTTTTAAAATCATAATTAATTAAATAAATTCATTAAATAAAAAATAAGATATTTTAACATTGGAATTTAAAATATAAAACATAACCTTTTTACTCACCCGTTCTGCTGCTTTGCGTCAAATTGCTATTGCGATCATGATCCCCATCTCCATCGTCCGTATAAAAAGCCATAGTTTTGGAGAGACCGTTCAAGTACTTCCTTTCCATGGCGAGCGAAAGGAGAACGTCCTTTCTTCTTTTGCGAATATTCTCAATTACCAGAAAGCGTTAGCACACGATGTGGTTGGTAAAGAGAGGAACACTGCGACGACGACGTTGCTCAGTTATTGATTTGCAAAAAAAGGGGGGATCCAACCGACCACACCATATACACGTTTGTTGTGTACGGTTACACGAAGGAATACACAAATAACAAAGTGCATAAGTGGATTGGACAAAGGAAACGATTTGAAACGATTTTTATTAACGATTCAGCTTTATTTTAAAATTTTTTGCTTACCTAAAATTTACTTAAACATTTAAATCTGTATCTTTATCCTGTAAATATGAAATCAAATTTATTTAATACTGAAATCTCGAAAATTTACTGTAATATTCTTGTTCAAATATTTTACTTACAATTAGAACGTTTTCGTTATCTACATGAAGCACTTGCTTGCAATAACTATTTTGAATAATTCATGTTCAGTGTGACTTAACGAAGATAACAAATTAGGTAAACAAGTGTTTCAGAAAAATATTGTGATTTCGTAGAAATAACCAATTGTAACATCATCATTTAATTTAATTTGGATATTTAAACGTGTTTCTAATTTTACTATATCTACAAATACTAGAAATCAACAATACGTAATATATTTATTTTTTATAGAATTCCAGTTAATTTCAAAATTTGTTTTGTTCATCTCTCATTATTCAGTATTTGTGATTAAGTCCAGTTCAAAATTGATGCTATGTATTAAAAAAGGCTTTAAGGGGACATCAAACTGAGCATTACTATTGCATCAATTTTAATTTTGGCTAAAGAAGACTTTAACGCAATGTGCAAAATGCAACATGAAAAAGCAAAACATGCCCTTACAACTTGAATATGACTTTACTAGATTTATTATACACGGCAGAAAGTTTGCTCGGTTTGGCGTTTACCCCAAAAACACCTTCTTGTACATAGTTTGCCAAAGAAGCCTAAATAATTAAAGATTTATCTTTTTAATTATCTTATTATAAATCGATAGTAAAAGAGATACAATAGATACAAGTTGAAATTAATCCATTTTAAAATCGGAATAATGCAACATTGCAAAAACGTTGTCTAAGAAATGGGATTATCCAACATCGAAATCGGCCGAGTTAGTATTTCAATGGAAGACATGCCTTGCAAAAAATAATTAGTTTCGTATTATACAATTTAAAAATTTTTTTACTATCCATTTATATTAAATAAAAGTGTGTTAATGTTTAACAATTATTGGCAGAAGAAGTATTTTTTCTATTAAGTAACAGCAGCTATATAATTATTCTAACATTTTTCAAATTTCGTTCACACAAAATTCAAAACAATCATTAAATCAGTACTCTTTGTTATTTCGCTTTTTCAGTTTTATTTCATTTATTAACGAATGTGAAACTAATATTATCTGAAACGAAATAGACTAAATTGAATTATATCGATCAAAAAATCTTTTTCGCTTAATTCCAATTAATTATTTATTTACTCAAATCGAAATCACTATCATTAGATGTTTTAGTCTCTTGCTTTGTACTTTCTGAGTCCGTATCTAACATTTCTAAAACTTTCATTTTCCCATCATCAGATTTTTTCAAAGAATCCTCATCAACTTTAATCTTTTCATTTTGACCATCTTGAATTTCGACATTACTATCTTCCTTATATTCCACATTTCCTTCTTCTTGGTATTGTTGTTGTTCTTGTTGATATTGTTCTTGTTCTTTTTGATATTGTTCTTGTTCTTTTTGATATTGTTCTTGTTCTTTTTGATACTGTTCTTGTTCTTTTTGATATTGTTCTTGTTCTTTTTGATATTCTTGTTGTTGTTCTTGATATTGTTGTTGCCCTTCTTGATCCTGTTGTTTTTCTTGATATTCCTGTTGATTTTGATTTTCTTCTTGATACTGTTGTTGCCCTTCTTGATACTGCTGTCCTTCTTGGTATCCTTCCTGTTGATACCCTTCTCTATATTGTTCCTGTCCTTCTTGATACTGTTCTTGATTTTGATAATACTGATCATACTGGTACAAAGGTTGTCCATTTTCATCGTATTGAACAATTGGTTGCCCATTTTCGTCGTATTGAACTACAGGTTGTCCATTTTCGTCATATTGTGGGTAATATTGACCATCGTCATAACCAATAGGTTGACCATTTTCATCATACTGCACATTTCCCTGGTCGTAATTGGCATATTGAATTGGTTGACCATTTTCGTCGTATTGAATGTTTTCTTGTTGATCGTTTGGTTGATATTCTGCCGTTGTATATTCGGTTGTAAGCTTGTTATCTTGAGGCTGATCTTCAGTAGGAGGAAGCTGTTCTTTTTCAGTGTTTTCATCTGCTTTTAAATTATTCGTTTCATCCTCAATGTATTCAAGCTCTTTTTCATTTGCGACATGTTTAATAATTCCATTTGGAATGATTTCTTCTTTAGTCGATATAATCTCTTTATCAATTTCTGGGTTAACATCGTCATTTTCTTTTTCAGCCTTATATTCGTTTCCACTAATTTCTGCATCATTTTCTTTATCATCTAATTGTTCTTTTTCCAATAAATCACCACCATCTTCCTTTAACTTAATATCTTCAACATATTCTTCTTTTAATTCTACATCTCCTTTCATATTTGAATCAACTTCGCGATTTTCTTGTTGTAACATATTTTCCTTTTGAGTTTCTTCCAATGAATCATGTTTTTCTTCATATAGTTCTTTATTATCCGTGTCTTTGGGTTGAATTGAAGCTGATACGATAATATCTTGAGGTTCAAATGATTCTTTTTCGACATCTGAGTTTTTATCTTCATCATTCAAAATTGTTTCTTGGTAATTTTCAATATCATCCTGAGCGGTACAAATTTTTTTTGTACCTTCCAACATTTCATCTTGAAACACTTCCGAAAGTACTTGATCTTCAGTTTCATCTACATCAGATTTTGGTAAATCATCAAATTTAGGTAAATCCAACTTTAATAAATCATCAGATTTTTGTAAATTATCAAATTTTGATTCAATTTTGTGGTCATCATTTTCTTTAAAATTTTTTTGATGATTATCGACAAAATCAACTCTTTTTTGATAACTAGGCGAATATTTTTTATAATCCGAATAATTTGTATTCCTAATTTCTGAATTTAATAAAATACTGTCTTGCTTATTTTTTGAACTTCTATAATCATCCACAAATCGATTCGCATCTCCATCTTTATTATACCTTGAATAGTCTAAATTTTCTTGGCTACTCGATGGTGGGCATCGCCCCAAATAATGATCGTACCAAGAAACGCGGTTTCTACCAGGACTGGGACTGCGAGAAACTCTTTGGTAATTTGAAAAACATGATGAAGTTGAAGGCAAATAACTCCTATCCGATATCTTCGGATATAAAGTGTATTCTATGTTTATTTTTGTCCCAACGTCCAAATTGGGATAATTCGATAATTGATAACCTAAATCTTCGCTTTGATAATTTTTGGTGGGAGATACCGAGTAATTTCTGGATGGGGATGATCTAAAATCTTCATTTATTACTTTAGAAATAGGCTTATATCCAAAATCTCGTCTATTATCTTCATATCTACGAATTTCTGGACTTGGTGAAACGTCTAGATGTCTTTTTCGAAAAGACGGAGACGCCAACGGACTTTTTGATTTTGGAGATGTGTACGATTTCGTTACTCTTTCGGGAGCGCTCCAACGATTCCTTCTAAATTGGAATTTATTTTTCCTAGGCAACTGAAACTTAGGTCTCCATCGAATAATTCGTTCTAGTTTATTATCGTTTATTGGCGATGATTTTCTTTCAGGCAAATCAGAATCTGATAATGAATCAAATAAATCTTCGTTTATAACACTTCGGGGTCTCTCTGGAAATTGAGTTTGTGGTTTTAAATAAGATTTTAAACTCTCTAAATCGTCATTTAAATTATTTTGATTTCCATTAAGGACTTTTTGAATTGTTGGGTGCTTATAAAGATCCCCATTTTGATACTTTGGGTAATTTATTTTCTTATTTTCTGGAACAACGCTTAATCTTTCGGAGATTGTTGATGTTATTGGAGATTTACTCCGAATTGACTCAAAGTTGTATTTTTTATGTATTGGAGACGCCGATAAATTCGACGCCGAATAATAATGGGGTTCATAATCGTCCGTTAAATAATCATATTGTTGTTCTGCACGATCACAATGTAATTCAACGGGATTATAATGAACATCCCCGGTCATTCTTTTTAAATAACTCGTATATTGCTTACGAAATAATTTAAAACGTTCCGTTTTAGCGGCTAATAAAGCCGATCTATTTTCTATCCTTTCTAATGCTTTCACAATCCTTTCATTCCTTTCGTGTCTTTTTATATCGTCCTCTAAAAAATTTTGATATTGCGTTTGTAGTTTCTTATGTTGAGCTTCTTCCCTGTGGTTTAAAATTAAAATTGAAATAATTTTACGGAAAGTATAATTTTACATCGCGTTAAATTTATAAATAAATTAATAAATTAAACTGTTGGCACGAAAATCGTTTTGAAATTTATTTTTGTTAAACTAAATATTTCTTAATGGACTTTCTTAATAAATAATAAAAAAACTTACTCATCTCTGGTATACTGAACCATTTCATTGAACTTCATTTCTAATCGAAGTCTTTCCTCTTCACTAAAAGTTAAAAGAAAAAAAATCGAAAAAACTAACCCCCTGTAGGGATGTTCAATACAAACAACCACGTCATGACAACCCTCACAACAAATACACTCGATTCGATTTACCTTTTCCTCAATTTCTCTTGAAGCTCAATGAACTTGCGGTAATAGTCCTCCGTGCATCTTGAAAATGACATCTTTCAAAAGTGAGCGTTTCAAAAAAAGTCGTCACAAAAAAACGTTGTATTTGATTAATAAATTGATGAGTTCACAGCACCAGGTGCTCACATACTGCGGAAAATTTCACGGTTTGCATGAAACGAACGGTTCGTGACACTGCGGCGGAACGCTAATCAGGTGCATCATGTACCAGGGGTTGGAACTTTTATTACACGAGCTTCCTACTTCTTGCGGCGCACTTCCTCCTACGGAATTCCACGCAAACCGAACAACAACGTAGGGTATAAAATAAAGTTTTAACGTTTTGAAAACGTTGAGGTGTTGTCGATTATCTTTGCTGCTATGGGGTTTGTTCGTTAATGTTTGACCCCGTTTTCTTTTCAGTACAATGGAAATCGGCCGTCCCCCTCTAAGTCACAAAAGATGTTATTGTTGTAAAGTAAAGGAAAAGGTATATCGAGTCAGTCGATAATCCATCGTTGGAATAATTTGTATAGTTTTATGCAGGAAGGACGCACGCGATCTCCGTACCAGGACGACGAAGGATCGCGGTTAAACTTGCAACTTGACCTTTCCATTCGTCGTTGGGACAAAAAGGACGAAAAAGATATATGTTTTAATGCGCAAATTTTTGACGTTGATGGTTACTTTAGATATAAATAGAATGAAAGTTGATTTTTAACTTTAAAATAGATGAAAGTTCAGCGAAGTTTAACTTTATCATTTACCTTCGAAATCTTTTAAAACTTTGAATTTAATAATAATTTATCCCTTGACCATTATTGTGGTTATAAAAGGATACTTATTTTTGTTTCTGAACTGACATACCCCCTTTATATATCTTTTAAAGCCGTCGAACTCAGGAAATTTATCATCTTAATGTTAGCATTTAACGTCACCATATGGACAGCCAAGGTTGTTAGATTTTCCCATTTATCATCTTATCTTCCTTCATTCCTTCACCCAGGAAAATGTATAACCTAGGTACCGTTATGTTCTTGAAATTCTTAATGATTCTCTCCTTTGAATGAAAAGATGAATCTATCTTGTTTTAGCACAAATTGTTCTTAAATTCTGAACAGTAAATCAATTATGCAACATAATGTTCTATAAGGATGATTTCAATGCTTTCATCACTGCTTTGAAAAGTTGTTTTTAAGTAATACAAATAAGGTATGACATTTCAATTTGATTTAAATAGCAGCTACATCGTAGCGCATCGTTGTGAAATTGATTGTGTCGCATCCTCATTTTTCGTCCTCTAGAAAAAAATACATTGGTTGGTCAATGCCAAACAGTTGAAATCATTAGAAAAGTAGTATGAGAAGGTTGATAGTCAGCTTTGTTGTTTTATGGCCTCGTTACCACATTACGAAATATTGCGGCATCTGGATGAAAAAGTACTAAGTATTGAATAGAGGTAAAAAGAAGGAAACTAAAGACTTGACGTTGATGTTTAACTCCAATAACTAATGATAAGAGTATAGATCTGGGATCCCTGCCACAAGAATTAGGCCTGGATATCGAAAACAACCAATTCCTGAAAGGCAGAACTCAGTCGAATATTAAAGCGTAGCTATATTATAAATAAATGATATGATAAATATTATCAAATATTGTTAACAAATCAAATTGAAATGTGAGGGGTATATATGATTGGTCTACAACGTTTCTGCGAATAAAGCTACTACTGGAGTTCACTACATAATAAATACCCAACACAAAACGAGGAATACTGAATCACAAATTTGTAGAACGAAATATAATTTAAAAGTGCAGACTAAGTAGACAATTCTTGAGAACGAATTGGTACTTCCACAGATAGATAACGTTAATGTACGAAGCATAACGTAAATAATCTTTCCAACAAATCACTTATATTATCAAAGATAAAATGTATAGAGGGATAAGTAAATAAAAAAAAGGTTTGTGCTTTTAGCATAAGAAATTTAAAACAAAAGGAGCAGTCGTTAGGAGACTTAAGAAGAGTCTCCACTCATATCTGGATTCTTTTACTGGCTTTTCTTCACTCATTTACTACTACCTTGCTTCTTCTTTTGACTTTGCTGGCCACAAAGAGAAATATGTTACATGATGCGACCTATGTTGCCTCTTTTAAGTACTTATAAGATATAAATAAAGATGAATAATAAGATATATATTATAAGTATTAAGAGGTAACTGCACTTTCCATGCTTTGCTTATAGGAAATGTCAGAAAGAAATATAAAAAAATTTACAATAAAGAAACAGAGTCAAAGAAGATCAGTAAAGAAGTCCATTATTACATCTCTATCAACATTCTGTTGTCAAGGTGATCATTCTGAAAGTTGCAATGAAAATGAATATGAAAATCATATTATACAGGTGTCTCACGTAACTGGTTCGTTAGAACTTTTTTAGGTTCCAGTATTTGTACAGTTTTGAAATTTTGGTAGTATGGGTTGCTCAGGCGGAACTTTCGATCTAAAATATTTTCAAGATGGCTGCCACTTCCGGTCTACCGGAAGTAGACCATAACTTCGTTATTTTAAATGGAATACTATAGTTTTTATTGCACCTTTTAATTGTACGTAAAAAAATATGTTGACTTTCATAAAAGTTATTGGTACCTAGCGTTTTTTGTTTTTGAGTTATTTTGGTTTTAAACTTTTTTTGATAAATTTCAACATGCTCTTTAAAACTCCATATCTCAGCCAAAGTTCATTCAAAAAAGATTTACTTTGGAACGATTACCCTTCAGATGTTGTCAAATAAACTGCCATTTGTTGTATCGGAGTATCTTATACAGGGTGGTCAAAAATTGAATTACAGTTTCTCCATATTCAATGGTGAGAAAGTCGAAAATTTTAAATGAAACGCCCTATATTTTATTAACCTACACGAAAGGGAATTTAATTCTCTACAATTTATCTATAAACATTCCTATACTTATTTATTGTAGTTTCTCTCATATTCGTAAATTTATCAAAACATGCAGAAAATGCAGGAAACCGTTTGTATTTTTATTAGAAGGCCATAACATTTTGACAGTTTTTTGTTTAATTTATTTCTATTATTATTTGTACTATTAACTACGATTGATAATCTTTTAGTTTACTAGCTTTTATTTGCCAAAAATAACAAACAGAAGATCAAATAAATGAAACTATTAAAACAAAAAGTTAATGACAAATTAGTTTTGAATAAAAATATAAATTTATAATATAAATTTGTTATTAAATTGAATTTGGAAATGCAATTAAATACGTTAAAATATTTATTTCGTTGTCTTCATCACTGGTGACCGGAAATATGCGATTTCTTTTGGTCTCGATATATCCAGAACTAATAAATTCTTTATCAATTTTTTGAAATTTTTCTCGTGATGGGCGTTAAGTTTGTTAGGCATCTCTCATTAAGTGTTCGACACGTCTTGTCCAAAAGTTTATTGCATTCGCCATCAATACAAAATAAATTTCAAATATCGGCGTTGGAATAATTTACCATGATGTTCAATAACTTACACCCGTCGTCAAATGTAACTAATGGCAACAATAATACAAACATGGACCAAAAACTGTCAACATTCCATAGCTTTCTAATAAAAAAACCTGCATTTCGTGCATGTTTTAATAAATGTCGCAATATGAGGCAAACTACAATAAATAGGCATGGGAATATGTATAGGTAATTTGTAGAGAATTAAATTCTCTTCCTGATAGCCTAAAAAAATATGGGGCGTTCCATTTAAAATTTTCGACTTTCTCGCCATTGAATATGGAGAAACTGTAATTCAATTTTTGACCACTCTGTATAAGATACTCCGATACAACAAATGGCAATCTATTTGACAACATCTGAAGAGTAATCGTGCCAAAGTAGACCTTTTTTGAATGAACTTTAGCTGAGATATGGAGTTTTAAAGAGCATGTTGAAATTTATCAAAAAAAGTTTAAAACCAAAATAACTCAAAAACAAAAAAGGCTAGGTACCAATAACTTTTATCAAAGTCAACCTATTTTTTTACGTACAATTAAACTGTGCAATAAAAACTATAGCATTCCATTTAAAATAGCGGAGTTATGGTCTACTTCCGGTAGACCGGAAGTGGCGGCCATCTTGAAAATATTTTAGATCGAAAGTTCCGAATGAATAACCCATGCTACCAAAATTTCAAACCTCTACGAATAGTGGAACATGAAAAAGTTCTAACGAACCAGTTACATGAGACACCTGTATAATAATATTTAAGTTTTTGTTCTTTTCAGAATTCTGAAAATTTCAATGAAACGTATTTTTTAGATGTTTTTGATTAACATAAACCAGTTTTATTTTACACATAATAGCCGTTTCATACCAAATCTAACAAGACATCTACGTATCATTCTTCATACAATTAATCCCCACCAATTTATTTCCCAATACGACATTCTTTAATCCACATCTGTTAATTTTTGTATGTTCTATCTAAAAATATAAGATTTTAATGAATAATAAACTATAAAAAGTATTAACTTACTAATTTTTTCAAATCTATTGTAATTAATTCATGCACTTCTTCAACACTTAACTACCTTCACCTTGAAGGATTATCTTTTTGCATCGTCCCATATAACTTCATCCAATAAAGGAATTCATGATTAAAAGGATTTAAGAGGTAATATAATCAAAGGAACTTCTTAAACTGAAAAAATTAAAATTACAAAAATAAATTAAACAAAAACATAAAAATAAATAGGATGAAGGAAGTGTTTTTGGCGTTATAAATCACTAATAATTGTGATGTCCAAAGATTTATTTATATACATACACTACTAAATTTCATTTTTCTTTTAAATCTGCTATACATATAAATAAAAATATATGATGAATTAATACATAAATAAATCTAAAAAAAAATCTAAATTCCCCAAAAAAGAAATACATTAATCAATTCAAAATCAATACCTCTTTGTTCTTATTATAAATGATAAAAAATAATTAACAAAAATACATTGCACAGAGCATTAAGAAAATTGAAAAAAATAATAAAGAAGAAGGAAATTATTAGCGTTTTTTTAATCATTTCTTTTAAATATCACACACGACTTTGAGGCCATGCTATCACAAGTAACAATTCTTCCATCTATTCTAAAATTAATTGATACAGTTATCACAATGGTAACAATAATTTTGATTCCATTCGGGCTTTCATTTTAAATATAAAAATACACCGAATATAAATACACACACTTTTAAAAGTTACTTGCATCAATTTACGTACTTACATATATCAACTTTTATTATTATCTTTTTTATTTAAAGAAGTATTTAAGCCTTAGTAGATTAGGTAGTAACTGGGTTAAGTAGATTTGTTGGTTTTAAGAGATCAATTAATTTCTTTCTTTTTTTTGTAACAAAATGTGATGCATTAAAAAATTAAAATCATCAGGTAACTTTTTTTTTTTCATTAAGTTGGTCATTTTTTAAGCGAAGAGAAAACAAAAATTTCCAAATTTTTCATTATCAAAATAAATAATTATACTAAATTAGAGTTTATTATTATTAAACTAAATCAGATTAATGCTTTTTTTTCCAACCACCATCCAAAAATTTCAACCAACCTCCTTCATTAATTATCACTAATTAACAACAATAAATGTAACAATCCTATACAAAAAAAAATTAAAAATAGACTAACTCGTTCCGTACTTTCCGTTTTCAAAAATCCCTTTTTGAAAAAAAGGGGAGAAATTTACTAAAGTTTCCCTTGTTATTGGTCCTCCATACGCCAGCGGACATGTCGGATGATTTTTACAAACTTCAATTAATCTTCTTAAATATAGTTGGAGTTGTTTTTTTCTGGATTGCGCCACCGTTTCCAAATTAGAAAATAATTGCCTTGATGGAAATGGAATTTGAGATACTCTCTCGCCGTATCGCGACTTCATAGCTAAGTGAAGATCTCTAAATCGACTGTAACGCCTTAATATTGACCACCGATCGTCAGCGGTTGTTATTCTCACTTCATATTCGTAATGAGTTTTTGAACCAGCTCCACGAACACAATAACTTGTTATTGTTACAATTGCATCCACATCAGAATCTGTTTGTATAATTAACCAATTTTAATTAAAAAAAAGAAAAATTTTAAGAAATATTACCCGTTATTATTGAAGGCATTGAGTGATAAATGTTGCAATAAGCTGATAAGTGCCTGCCATGTAACTAAAGAAATTTTTCATAATTTTTAATATTTAAGAATATTAAAGAAGTTACTTACTGGAATAGGCGGACTATAAAGTGCTGATGTTGAACCAGTATGTAAAGGCCTTATCGGACTAGGACTATCATGTAAATCTTGTAAAGGATGTTCGGCGGCTGGCGAAAGAATGGAAGACGAAGGACCAATTTTTAAAGACATGTATTGCTTTTGTAAATCCTGTAAAGTCTAAACATAAATTATGAAAACATCAGAAATATTGAGACAAAGAAATAAATCTAAGGAATATTTGAATGCATTTGATAAGATTGGTGATGACTCAATAAAAAAGCGGATCATTTTTAAGATTAGATAATTCTATTAAAAAGCGGCATCTAAGAAGTGAATTAAACAAAGTGTGGTGAATATAAGAAATTTCTTCGAATTTAAAGCATGTAAGTATAAAATAGAGAACCTAATATAAAGCTTGATATATAAATTATTAATAAAATTGCATCCAACAACCCTAAACATGAGTAATACAATAATTTCATTTTTGACTCATTATTTTAAGTACTATTTTAATCATGTTGTTTGAACGGATTCAAGTCAAAATAACTCTATCACGTTCGGCTAGTAAAATCGTTATAAGAACTAAAAAGCCAATAGATCCCGAAAACAGTAGAAGGATATTAAGATTGAATGGATAACATGTAAAAACGCCAATCGTTAATCTCTATCTAAAGTAAACTCTGAGAAACGTTTAAATTTTGCCTTAAAATATAAAGATAATGATTTTTGGAAACAAGTCATCTTTAGTAATAAAAATAAATTTAATGTATATGGAAATGAGGAAGATATAATAAGCAAAACTCGGCAACTCGGGTAGCCCTTACTGGACGCGGTCAAGAACTTGCTGAAACGCTGCAAAAGACACACAAACATATGCCACATTCTGGAAATGCAGTGGAAGTGTGCAATGTCCAGAGACCTAGAACTAGGGTATCAACTGGTCTAGTATGGAATCGATAACAAGCAAGAATTTTTGACAGAATCATTAACATCGACAAGAAAACAGACCGTATCTTGACTGTTAAACTTGTATTGGATAGCCAGCCTATCATGAACGTTGTCTGCGAGTATGCACCTCAGACGGGGTGTAAGGAACCGAAAACTGAATCATTCTGGGAAGACTAGGATGAGTTCATGACTGACATACCATTTCTGGGAAGACTAAATTCGTCTTAGACAACCTAAATGGCCATGTTGAGAAAAACAGCGAAACAAGAAAGAAATTTCAAGGATTGCAAAGATATACAGGGTGAACCACGTCTGCGCAGTATGCACTCTACCGAAACCTGTTAAGAAAATTATAGATCGGACAGTGCAAATTAAATAGAAAGAGCTCTCTGAGCCAAAGGGTGACACCCTTTTAGAAATTCTAAGGGAATATATGAAAAACACTTCTTATGTCACGGCTGATGAGATGTGGATTGGTTTCGAGGGAGAATGCAGGAATAGAGCCAGTGACAGATTAAGATTATCTAAAGGGGGCATCAGCACAGGCAAAGATTCGACTTAGTTTAAAGAAGAGAGAAGGGATACCATCGGAAATAAAAAGTTGGCGTATAAAACTTAGCAGACAACGAAACAGGAAACTGATCGCATCATCTATGAAAACTCCAAAGTCGCAGCAAACGAGGCTGTAGCGCAGGCCAGAGCTAAATCTAGAGAAGCTTTCTATAGTTAAGTCGAGAATGCGAAGTCGGATGCTGAGATTTTTAAATTAACCTATAATAGACATAGTGCAAAAGACCTAACGACCTAATGATAGATAAACGATGACATAAATAGCAAGTGGTATGAATACTATAGGGAGCTAATGAACGAAGAGTTGGACAACTCAAGCATAAAGTTGGAACCTCTACAACCAGCCAGTCAAGGACTAGGCGGCGTTTTTTTTCCGCTGAGCTCATGATGACATCACCTCCAAACTATTTCATGCAGATCAGATTGTGGTCAGCGTAACTCCAAACATCTTCTCATAGACTAGAACTTGTATCTCCTTATATCAGAAATTGATACAGAACACTTGTAGGCTTCGTTATAGAGTCTGGATAATATAATTCCAGACTTTACTTGCAGTTAGAGTTTAGCCATTACAATTTTCGCTATTTTGGTAGAGATTAGAGTTTAGACAGTGTATCACAAGACACTTAGATGTTTAAATTTCGTAATTTGCGTCTTAATAGAAACTATAAATGCTTTCTGAATATGTTTTGTTTGAAATACATTTGTTTCTAATAATCTTTAAAAATCTCGCCCTTCATTTTTGTATCTTTCTGTATCTAGAAAACACCATTTATATCAATTTGGTTTGTGGTTTCTGTATACTAGAGACACAAATAAGGAAAGCAATATCTTATGAATCTGAATATTGACCTCCTGGTGTACACGTCTATACATTCATGATATTGATAAATTCCATAATTAATAGAACCATTCAAACACATGTTAAAAAGATAGACAATATCAAATTCTTAGTTACTGGTGTATAAATAAGAGTTTTGAAAAAGAATTAATTGAAAATCTTTACTTAATGTGACATGAAAACAATGAATGCTTTTATGTTTGCATCAATATCTAAGAACAAATACATCTAAAAAGCTTTAAAAAATTGTTAATTACTAAAAAAGAAAAATAAAATACAATGAAATTAATATTGTTAAAATTACAAGAAACCATTAAGAAATATTAAAAAATATCCAACACCACAAAACATTTTAAATAAAGTGTTAATTAGACTTACAGCAATTTGATTATCAATTTGAGCTTTTGGACAGCGCGAGTCCAAGCTTTTCATAATTAGGTGCTTTTGCTGTGCGACCCTCTGAGCCAATCCTCTTAAAGCTTCGCTGTCGCGTCTTCGTTTTCGCGTCACCGGCGATTTGTTCTCTACAGAACTAGACGATTGCGAATCACTGCCTACATACTACAATGGAATTTAACGAAAAATTATCAAAAAAAGCTAAATTAATATAGGCTTAAAAAGAAAATCAATGGAATCATCTAATTCAAGAAAAAAAAGCAGGAAAACAAATTTCGTTTTAAATGATATTTTTCATGCCATTTTATCAATGAGGTGTTATTTTTAATATAAAGCAGTCGTGCTAAGTTTTATTTTAAAAAAATCTTACTTTACACTCTTGGCTCTCTGTACTGGACATATCACTTTCATCATGAACATTATTCGTTCTTAACTCTACTCCGCTATCGCTCATAAAATGTTCCATAACTGGATCGGCTGTTAGATGAGTTGAACAACTACTGGCTGCCGTATGATAAGTATCGCTACTTAACGAAGCAGTTCCAACACTATTTGGACATTGAACGGAATTAATTTTCTTTAAATTTAACGTTAATCTGCAAAACAAATGAAAAGAACTATTTAAAGAAGCGATTTAATTTATTTGAAATCCTTACGATTGTTTTCTTTGGTCAAGTTCATGTAATTGTTGTTCAGTTCTACAAGCTAAAGATTCCTTTAAAGTCTGCAAATCTTCGTTATGTGAAGGAACTCCAAGTTCCATTTGTTCATCAACTAAATCTACAAGACGTTTATCTAATTTTTCAACTGCTAGTCGTCTTTCAGCCAATGTTTGTACCCGTCGTTCTAATTCCGCTTGTAATTCAGCTAATTCTTTTCTCTAGAAGTAACAAATTTATTTAGAAAAATAGTTTTAATTTATAAACAACTCCTAAATGATAAACACTAAGCTAATGTTAATCACATGGAGTAAAATTATGTCTCTTACATGTTGAGTAACTAAATCTTGTATAACCGCGTGTCCTTTCACTCCATTTAATAAGTCAATTAAATAATCAGATTCAGTATCTGATAATGAGTTAGTTTCAGATTTATGAATTAAATCCTGAAATTAAAAAAAAAGACACATAGGAAACAAAAAAAAAATTAATAGAGTGAAATTTAAACCAAAAACGTGTAAATAAAAAATACCTTTAATAAATTTTTATGATTTGGATTGGGAAATGCAAAATCGTTCAGATTGGCTCCGATAAATTGCAAACAATTTCTTAATCTACAGGATAATTGGTTTTTGAGGTCTTTCAGATGGATATAATCTTCCTGAATCTACAGGAGTATAGATAAAAAAATATGGAAATAAATAAATTAAAAAAAATAATTGATTTTAAGATATTTTTAATCATACCTCCCCCATAATTCTTTTCCTCTCCCTTTCCAATTCTTCTCTTTGCAAAATCAACTCTCTCTCTTTCTGTTGAAGTTCTTGCTCTCTCTGTTTTTGTTGTGCGGTTAAATTCCGCCAATTTTCCTGTAATTGTCTCGCTTGAGCAGCGTGTTCTCTTTCCATGTCACGCTTTTCAGCTTCTAATTTCGCCTGGGCTTCTTCCAAGCTTTTTCTCCGTCTTTCAAACTCCTCTTGTTCTTTTTCCAAGATTTCTTTTTCTTTCTCAAGGTTTATTCTTTGAGATTCAATGTCGTAACGATCATCGTCCAATCTAAAAAAAATATTATGGAAAAATAGGTTCATTAAAACGTAAGTGACAAATAATTACGGTGGTAAATTATCAATTGATGTTGCTAAATCAGGAGTTGACCAACTTAGTAAACTTAATCTTGCCAAGTTTATAGTTCGCTCTCCTTTCCTTAATTCAGCAGCTTCAGCTGGATCATTAAAACTATATCAAAAAAATTAGTTTTATTTCATATATTATAATTAAAGTATTTTACCGAAAAACGTGAGCCCTTCCAAGAAAAATAATACATCCTTGCGACAACCTAGCTGGAGTTTCAATTAAAATATTGTTTAACCAAACTTGAGCCCCTGGAATTGGGTTTAAAATTGCTACACCATTGTCGAATGTAATTGTACAATGTTTTGGTTCCATTCCAGATCCGCGAAGAGCAATGTCTTGTTTTTCATCAGAATCTTCAGTTCCAATAGTAGTTATTCCCTCCTAAATATATAAAAAAAACAATTAGAAAAATATACATATAAATTTTTTAAACTAACTTTTAAATGATATAACGTAACTCCAGTACTTAAGGGATCATCATCAATTGCAACAAGATGAGGCCTATCTGAATCAAGAACAACTCCAGGTCCAGCTTTGCGAAGTCCTAACGCTCGTTGTTCTCTTAAAATAGCCTGAGCTTCTCGCCATTTTCCTGCCCACTCCTCCGTTAATTCTTTTTCCCTAGCTTCTTTCTCTTGTAACTGTGCTAACATATCATCAGATCTGTGTTCGTTAAACATCAAAGCTTTCAATTTTGAAATTTCATCTCTCAACTCTCTAATTAATTTAACATTGGGATCTTCGTTAACCGTTGGTTTATTAATTATATTCTTGGCTCTATTAGCGTATCGTAACGTACTTAACGTTTCTCCATAGTTGCAATCGGCAGGACTTATTGCTGCTATCATAATAGTTTTGGAATTTCCACCCAAACTGTCCTTTAATAACCACGTTAAAACCGAATCCCGATACGGGATAAAACAAGATTTTTTATGGCCGTTTGTGTCAAGTGATAATTCTGCTAAAGCTGATATAACCGATCCTAAAGTAACTAAAGATTTATTGATATGAGCCCCCTCTTTTAATCTTTGACCAGTTGCTCCTGTTGTGTCAGCCCGTTCGCTACCAGCCAAATCCACTAAATGTATCTAATAGAAAATTATAAAAATAGACGTTTTGTATAAAAAATAAGTTTTGAGTGACGTTTTTTACAATAATACCTTAGATACGGTTTCACTTGGGACTCCATCACAGTAACCCGCTTGGACGAATGTAATGGTGAATATTGCGTGGCTACGACTACTCACATCGTTCATGTTTGTGGCTGCTGTAGTTCGATGAGCGTTTCCTCTAAAACAATTAAATTATTGCAAAATAGAAGAATGAATATTAGTTATTAGTTAACCAGTTATGAAAAGACTAATTTTAACTACCAAAATTAGTCGTTTCATAACGTGTTAAGTACAAAATTTTATCTAATTCCATTGAAAAAGCAATTTTTGTCAAGCAAAACTTGATTTATTCTAAGTGATAGATGTCAATTTATCAATTTGTAGTTAGGTAACATCACTAGTGATGTAATCAAATCATTACATTACTAATTAACCTTATAAATGAAGTTTTATCCACACTTATGAACCGTATAAAGTACCACTTTATCCACTAGTGGAATAATGAAAAATACAATCTTAATCAATCACATCCTATTTATTATTTATATTAACATTAACATTTATATTAATAGACATTTCTTTCTTTGATTTGTCACTTTCTTCCATTTTTCACCAACTTTACCTTTACACAACTTTACCACAAGTTTCACACTTTTATAAATATGATACAAATGGAGTCAATAAACAATCGAAAATAAATAGCAACAATTCAACACCTCCCCAATGTTTTTTTAGTTATTGGTTAATTGCAATGATTTTTGAGGTAACAGCTGCTGTCAGAGTGAAATGTCAAATCATTTTTTGATAACTTCAGATGAAATGTTGGCGATTCTGATTCTAAATGAGTGTGATTGTGGATAAAACGTTGTATTGCATGCGTGTTTTAAGACGTGTGTCCACTACCAAGTTTTCTTGCGGAAGTTGCTTCCAGAAGTGACTTCCGCAAGAAAACTTGGTAGTGGACACACGGCTTTAGATGCATTTTATTCACTTAAGAAAATTAAACGGTCGAGCTCCGCTCTCGCGTTTATACATTCTTGCATGATTAAAATGCTGTCTAAAACACTTACATAATAAATAACTATTATCTACGACTGCTTGGATAAGGCATCATTACCACACTCATTTGAGGTCATTTGAGTTAAGTAATGAATTTCATTCCAGCCCAGTCAGAACAGACTTAATTTATTGAAACGACCAACAATACAAAAGAAAAAGTGCTACCTATTTAAAGAGAAACAATACTATTTATTATAAACATTAATTAATAATTAACACTTATTCCAGATGAGTAAACATGTTATTGTAACTGACATTAATTCAAAATTGTCAAAAATCATTTCAAAATATTTTTATAAATGTCAAAATAGACCTTTTTAAAGAAATTGATTTTTAAGTAATTTTTAGTAGTCGTAGATAAAATGTTGTACTAGTGTGATTACGTTTCTAGCCCACTTGTAATATAAATAACTATTATTAACAATATATGGAATATTGTATGGAGTGGTCCTGTAAAAATAATTCTAAGAAGCGTATTCATTACTTAACCCATTTAGAACCTCGTTTGCATTTGCGCACCACTGTTTAAAAATTCTAAACATTGGAACATTTAACAAACTTTACATGTTTTGTCCACTGCTGAATATCCCCCATAAACCTCATGGCCTTAAATATCCATGATAAGGAAGGTTTTTAGCTAATAATTCGTCACGCTGGCCAGGCTGAATAAAAATTCAGTCACTGTTAAAAAGTAGTACTAACAACACCAGAAATGTACAGTACAGTACATACAGAATTACAGTATATGTCAAACAATTATGGTAAGCAATGGTAGAATTAAAAAATCACATATTTAAGTAATTAGACCTTAAAATAAGTTGAAATACATTCCTTTTAATTTACAAAGTTTTCTTAAGATTTCTAACAGTATCGGGGAGTTATTAAAATGCATCTGTTCTTTCAAGAATTCTCATTATTTTCATACATTTTTGGCAACATGTTAGCTCTAAGAGTATACGCCAGGTTTTAATCAAAGCGTTTTTGATTAAGTAAAAAAGTTTCAAGTTATGCTGTCAGACAAAAATGTTTGAAAAACACTTTCTGTAAATCAAGAATTCAATATCTGACAAAATAAAAAATGAGAACCTGAATACAGAAAAAAGCTGAAAGGAAAAATACATCACAATAAAAAAATATTTAAGGAATATTTTATTCTATTTTTATTTTCCTTATAAAAATAACATAAAATGCTATTTAAAGTGATTATGTTTTAAATCACTGAAGCTATCTTTATGACACATCACTACTTTACTGTTAATAAATAATAGATAAGAAAGATTTTCCTGTTACTAATAATAAGTGTGATAACCAGAGCCCAGATTGTTTAGGAAACATGTGCCCCTCCACCCACTTTATGTTATTTTGCTAAACATTGAGATTGCAGTGGGTTATAAACTGCTCAGGCTCTGGTCATAAAAGTACTCACCTATTCATGCATTCTTGTATATGTCCATAATTTGTAACCAAACATGTTGTTAATCCTTGAACATAAGGTCCCCTTTTTGGATGTTCCCTTACTTTTAATGAAGCCCCTTCTCTCCCTCTAAGCAAATCGGCAACTCTTTCCTGATAAATCTCTAAATAACTGACTTGGACTCTATGTGTAGTCCCTCGTTTTGAATCTTCAGCCATTCGTTCAAACAGTGCTTTACAAATCCTTGGAATTAACCCTTGATTATCTGGGGAACCCANCTCTCCCTCTAAGCAAATCAGCAACTCTTTCCTGATAAATCTCTAAATAACTGACTTGGACTCTATGTGTAGTCCCTCGTTTTGAATCTTCAGCCATTCGTTCAAACAGTGCTTTACAAATCCTTGGAATTAACCCTTGATTATCTGGGGAACCCATCATTGTGTAAGTTTTACCACTTCCTGTTTGACCATAAGCAAAAACGCACGCGTTGTAACCTTCAAAGGCGCAATCTACTACTTCTGTTCCTAAATCTTTATAAACTTGTTCTTGGGATGAGAAATTTACGGAAGCTTCGTCATGGGACCAATAGGAATGATCGAAAGTGAATTCTTTATAACGTATACTTTCATCCCTTGTGTTTGCCTAAAAAAATAATTTATTATTTTTAATGTGTTATCACAAAATAAATTTGAATTTTTTTTTTACCTTGCAGTTTAAAATTCCTGTTTTTTTTCCATTCATTTGAATAATAAGTTTTGCCTCCATGTCAACCTCCCTATTAATAATTAATACAAATACATATAAATAATTTTTTTTAATAAATAAAAGTTCATTGTGCCATTTAATAAAAATCTTTGTTACATATGACTATTAGAGCATTAATAAAATAACTGACCTCTGATTGAAGGGGCGCACCCGCACGGCAACTTTAACAGAAGCCATCGTTTTATTAACTATTTAATTAATACTTTTAAAAATAATCACTTTACTTAATTAATTCTAAAATGTTTTAAAAATTCGTCAAGATTCGCACATCGCAGTTTATTTTGATCGACCATCTGTCAAAACACTGCACTTCTCCTTGTCATTTAGCCCCCACTACCATATTTGTCAACTTATTACCAACAGTTACACAAAAAAATACTGTTAGAAATCGTAGTCGAAAATACACGAGTATCTTCGGATTAATTCGTAAAAAAAAATTAATTGTAAAAATTAAAGAAAAATTTATAAATTTGATTTATAGACAATAAGAAATGGCTTTTACATTAAATTAAACGTAAAAAATTTATTTATATAACATCAAAATTTATAAAATGATGTAATAAGAAAATTAAAGTAAATGTCAGTTTAATGTACATAACATAGAGGATAAGAGAAAGTCTACTTAACTTTTTTTACCTTAGGTAACAATAAACAAAACCAAAAAATTAATTAAAAAAATTTATTGACTTTTATTAATTATTATCTTCCTAATTTTTTATTTAAAACCTTATCAATCCTTTTAATAGTCTCTTTAGTTTCATTTCTAATAACATTAACTTCCTTCTCAACCTGAGGATTTTTAAATTCGACTTGTTCTTCTTCTTCTTCTTCCTCAAATAATTTACTAACTTCAATCATTTTTACTTGTTTAGCGTTCGTATTAAAACTTTTTTTCTTGTTGCATAACGACAAAACGCCCCAATTTGGTATTTTCCTTTCGTTCGATTCCAAACACCAAGCTGCGTTTCTCAATTCCATCTTAAATTTTTCCAATTCGTCCGGACTTACATTTTTGCTAACATTTAATCCTCTTTCTAAAGGATTTACAATGTAAAGCGGACTGTGATCGGGTTTATGAATAGAAATTCCTTCGTTTAAATTAATGGCTTTCGTTGCGTAATCGAATTGAGCGTAATGTTCGAAAAATTTGTTTAAAAGGTTTTCCAAATTATCTGTATTTGCGGCATTAAAGTTTAAAAGTTTAATATCTCTTAAAAACGTACAATTAATACCATCTTCTGTTATATATTCATCTTCACGTCTTGCAGCTTTTATTAGTGTTTTTATGTTAGGTAAAATATTGATTTGAGGTTGTTGTAAGAACGCTAAAACCATTAAAGTTAATGAAAAATTTGTTATCCATCTTCCTGGATAATTATTTGTTAAACCAACTTCGCTAGCCCATTTTCGTATCGTAAAAACGAGAGGACGCACTCTCGCATCAATTTCACCAAAAACATACAATAATTCTGACATGTAAAACCCAGACCTTAAAAATTATTTAATTAATAATTATACAACAAAATTTCATTTTTTATAATCACATATTTGCCATCGATAAATCACAATCAATATCAGCAAATTGTTGGCAATATTTAATAATCGGAACGCGGGCTTGAAGTATTTTTCTCACTTGCGCGCAACCAGGTAAAAATAATTGTAAGAGATCCCCAATTACATCCATGTGTCTTTGCGAACTAAATCGATCGCTTCCCGTCGACGCTTTATTATGAAAAACCAATCGACCTTCAGTTTTCTACTTAAAAAGAAAAATTTTGTCATTCTAATTTAAGAACCGTAAAAATTTATTTAATACATTATCTGTTTCTAGTAACCTTAATACTATATCGAGATCACATCCCATTTTACCAAAACCGTTTACAGACGATCCGAATGGATAAGCTATTGTGTTTGGAAATAATCCGGAAAGGGCGGATTCTACTTGTTTTGCTGCAAGATAACGTAATCTGGTCCCAATGTCGTTTAGTTTTGTTAAATCATGTAGAAGTGTCATTTGTTCAGATATCTAAAAAGAAAATTAAAGTAAAAGAATAACGAAGAATAAAGAATTCAGTATCGGAAATCCCCCCCAATTTAAGCCCTATCACCTGAAATGGATCTGCGAACTAATCATCTGTTCCTAAATATACTGATTAGCGAAACCTTCACAAACACCCTGACGGATATATAGACATGAATAAGAATGTGGAACATTAGAACCCTCCTGGAAACGACACAGCTGGCTCAAGTTGCAAAGGAAATGGAAGATATAAATAAATCCCAACATAAATAAACTATTTATGTTGGGATTTAGCTGGACAAGGAGGACAGATAATGGGATGTGTCAAAGAATAACCAAAAACCGAGCCAATTATCTTTCGAGGCAAGAAGAAGTATGATAGGGTGGTCCCCAATATCTGGCAGAATAATTCTAGCGCGTATTCGCACAAACGTGAGAATTCTGTGGTCAATACAATGTTACGCGCCGACCGACCCGGCATCTTAGGACAGTTTCTACGACGCACTCAGACAAAGTTAGAAAGAATATAGAAAGGTGATATAACTCTGGGTAACCTGAACGTAAAGATGAGAGAGGAGAATGTAGGAAACAGAAACAACTACTTAGCAATTGGAGGAATACTCTTCCCACACAGTGCCATACACAAAATAACTTGGATGTCACCAAATGGCAGAACACAAAACTAAATAGATCGTATAACGATAAGCAGAAACTATAAGTGTGAAATAAAAGGGGTGCACATACGGCGAGTACCCATCATTTGTTGATCGTAGACATCCAACTGAAGATAGCAACAACTGAATAAAACAGAAGAAACTTCGCAATTCTTTCATACAATGAGATTATAAAGAAGCCCTAAGCCACAAAATACAAATAACAAACAAAAGAGAGGGAAACGTCGAAATGGGAATCACTTAAACAAACATAATTGAAGCAATTAGAAACATACTGGGAGAGAGAAAAGAACTTAAGAAGGAATGGATAACAAATGACACGTGAAGAGTGATACAAGCGAGGAAAGCGATGAAGCAGAGAATCAACCAAACATGACATAAACGTGAAAAGAGAACTAAATGGAAAATACCAGAATTTAAACATAAGGGTAAACAGATTAGCAGGAGAGGTAAAAGGCAGTGGGCCGACTGGTTCATGGAACTAGAAAATGTATGGCTAACGAATGAAACCAACACTACAATAAATCAATAAGAGACAATGAAGGTAACATTATAACAGCAGAGGAAAAACAAATTTAAAGATGAAGACAGTATTTTGGTGAACTAACACGCAATACAAGCGTGATATAAGACAAGACGCCAAGGCATCCTTTAGAAAAATAAAAGCAGCTTAAAGCGGGAAAGACCGCAGAGGCTGATAACATCAGTGTGGAGCTACTGCCGGTAGTAAAAAAGTGTGGAATACGGAAATCATATCGAAAAGTTGGAAAGAAAGCATAATTATCAAACTTCCCAAAAGCAGTACGGATAATTTTGGGAAACATAGGAATCCCTATAAGATTCATTGTAACTAAAGGTATAGGGCAGATTTAGGTCCTTTATGAACCTTAGTATTGCTCCAAAGTCTTGTTCCTTTATGTCAGTAAGTGCCAGGTACACGTTTCCGAAAGTTTTGTGTGTTAGGCTTGTGTTTGACATGTCGTTGCAAAGTTGTTGATCCATAGCTTGTCCAATGTTGAAGAGATGGTAGTTTAGAAACGTGTGGCCAGTCAGGAAACCTGAGAACGTCTTTAAGTCCCCTTTGAGTTATCATACTCTTCGCCTATCTGTATCCTGGAAGTTCTTTCCAGCGCAAGGTTAAGTGGCTGTTTTGTAGTCTACAGCCGGGTTGCCGTCCAATAAAGAGAGTCCTCATTGAACAACTTATCCACCTTTTCATTACACACAATGTCTTTGTAACCTGGAACCCGCCATAGAGTAACTTCATTACCCCTGGCGAGTTTTTTCAGGTTATCCATAGATTCTTTGAATAGTGCGGATATATAAATGTAGGCTTGAATTGTTTTTAGAGCGGTCCGACTGTTCGTAAAGATGTAAACTTCAGCCTGTTATCACCTCTACTATTCAATACTGTATTAGATTGGGTTCTGAAAAATGCAGATTTTTGCACCACCACCATAAAATCTACCTTATTGCGCAGAAACATAAAAGATGACCCAAAATATAAAAAACGTTTTAGAAAGATATTATGAATGTATTGGTCAGATTTTGTACCAAATAAAAATCTCCTATGACAGGCGAAGCAAGAAATAAAATTAGAGAACTAAGAACTAAAACCCAGCACAACAACCTGGAAAAACGGGTAGATTGGAATCCGCAGAGAGAAAGGCTCAGAACAACATGGAGGAGGACTATGATGAAGGAGTTGAACAGACAGGGAGAACTAAAGCTGATGGCACGATACAGAGACTGATGGAGGATGTTTGTAGAGGCCACATGCTCCAAAAAGAGAGTTAGACGATTTAATATCGCTAACGAAAAATGATAGGTTATTTATCCATAAATTTCAACTTAATTAAAGTCTATAAAGATTAATTATGAAAAATATAAAACTAGATATTTTATGTAACGGAATATCTATTAGTCATTTTACTGATTCATTTCTCATTCCATTGAAAAAAACCCCATTATAGACAACTTTTTTAAACACTCACTTTAAATTGAATAAATTTCAAAATTTTTAATTGAAGATAAGGTTTTTAAGAAATAAAAAATGTAAATCTTCTGAGAGAAATTCTTAATTGTATCTGTATATCCCAGCTGTTTTATTTTAACCAATAAACAATATGAAAATGAACTTAATGTTAGAGTAACTTGAATAAGGTCATAAATGCTTTAGACAAAAAGCAATAAAAAACCTAAAATTATTGTGGAGGGAAAACTGAAATTAGAATTATGGTGATATAATAAAATACACAAAATATTATTAAAAGAGACACATTTTTTAATATAATATATTAAAAACGAGTTCCGTATTATTAGCTCCACATAAAAAGGTTTTAAACATACCGATTTGGTGCTTTGTAATCTTTCTCGAATAACTGTATCTACTAAAATATTGGTACCATTCTCAACTTCCAAATCAACTTTTTTAACATTCTTCTTCCTTTCATTTCTCTTAACAGGGGCTTTAAACCATAAAAATAACGATTGTACAGGTACAATTTGAGTGTCTTCTAAATATGTACTATTTGATAATATATTATTTACATCCCCTTCTTCCATGAACTCTACTATAATAAAATGCTAAAGATTTTTACATAAAAACATAATCTATTAGTAAATTTGTTTTGACTCACCAAAGGTTCAACTCCTGCCGAATAATGAAACATTTTTTTGATCCTTCCAAAATCATTGCAATAAGAATATAACTCTTTATGGGATTTAGATGATTGAACTTGTACAACAATGCTTCGCTTCGCCTCAAGTCTTCTTTCATCAATTTTTTCTTTAAATGGTACAAATTGTTCTAAAATCTACCGTAAAAATTTAGAGGTTATATCAAAATTGAAACCTACGTTTTTTCTCGATGGCTTCTTGACTTAGAACTCTACTTAAAATATAGTTTCTTTGTGAGAATTGGTTAAAAAAGTGAAATAAATTCAGCCGCTTCATCGTTAAAGTTAAATAAAACAGCGACATTTCAATATTTAAGGTTAGATTCCATTTTTGACATTTGACAATACATGCGGTAATCAAAAACGATTAGGAACTAACTTCCGACTAATATGATTTCCTAGCAACCATCAAATTGACATAACCACACTTTTTTTTTATTTTCTTTTCAAAATTAAAATGTCTTCTACACCAACAAAATCGCCAAGTAAGGCTGTACAATCACCTTTGTATTCCCCTTTAATACGTAAATATTTAATTCATTTAATTTCGATTGGTGATATCACATATTTTTAGTTCAACAAAGTCCAGCTGCTTTAGCTGGTCAAAGAAATTTGACAGGACTTCCTAGAGTTACAAGAGATGTTATAGCAGACTTTTACAATAATATACAAAAATGGAACGAAACTCACGTAAATGGAGCGCTTTTAGTGAAACAAATAGCTTTAATAAAAAGTGATAGTAAAGAGGAGTTTCCGAAAGGTTTAGATAAGCTTATGGATGACTTGGGAGAAACTTATCGTCGCTTAGAAGTGTATGCGCAGTCCTTAAATTTTCTTTCTAATCAATTGGCTTCCATGGGGAAATTACAACATCAAGAGGAACCCTTATTTTTTTCATTAACCTGTAGACAAATCTCTGAGATTGTTTCTGAAATAGCAAAAGCTTATAATTCAGAACTTTATGTAAGCAATAAGGTGTGAGTAATAAGTATATTTAAGATCAATTTTATTATAGAGAAAAGAATATGTTTTAAGCAATATTGCTTATTCAAAAAATAGATATGAAGCTCTATTTCACGCAGCTTGTTGGGTTCATCAGCAATATGTAAGTAATGATATCAGGATGAAATTGGAGGCTTTACTTGTAGAAACTGGTCATAAAAAAATGTAATTAAAAAACTTTATTGTACAAAAATACAAGTTTTGTTACAAAATAAATAAAAATGATTAAAAAATAGAAATATTAAATGAAATGTTTTAATATTAAACATTATAAAATGATTATAACAAAAAAAAAAAAAAAACTTGATTATGCAAAAACACAAGTTTTGTTACAAATAAAATAATACTTTATAAAATGGAAATACTAAATAAAATGTTTTAAAGTTCAGTCAAAATGAAAGTGTTTTTCTTGGAAAATATTAACTAAGGAGATGATTTAATTATATATTGCGGATAAGCAGATGAATCTCTTTTTTCAAAATAACTATCTTGTAATGTTAAAAAACGAATGAAAATATTGTTTGAAGTACTGTGAGGCATCCTCGTCCATAAACTTCCATCCAAATACCTATTAAGACTTGCTTCAGATACTCTTTCATATTTAAACATCTCCTAAAAAAAAATTTGGTTTCAAACAATGTTGTTGCAATAAATCTGCCACAAAAGTAGTTAACCATATGTCTCTTAAGATGGCTAAACCCGAATGATTCTAGTTCTACTTTTAGTTCAATAAAAATATACAATAATTTAGCGCTGAATAACAATTAAAACTAGAACTACTATCCTTGATTTATACAACATATAGGTTGGGGAATACCCTGAGTTTATCTAAGAACATGGAATGGAGAAACTTGGGGAATAACCTGAGTTGGATTCTGATTTGAATGATGCATACTTATGATAGATGTTTAGTTCTATGTTAATTTTGTTTGTGGAGCTACCTCAAATTATACTTTTATTATTATTATATCCTTTTGAAACAAAATTTAGGCGCTAAAAAAATATTAAAATATCTTTACAACCATTTAAAAAAAAAAGTAGCTGTTCTGACACACCTTGTTTATAAGCTAAATCCACTTATTACTTACTGTAAAAGGTTGATTATTATGTTGCAGAATAAGTTTGTGCCATTCATATTTAGCATAATTAATTAAATGTTGAATTCTTTGAATAACTAGCTTCCCTGTTACCGTGATAGTATTGTTAAAATCTTTTTCAACATCTTTGTATTCTTCACTTTCTTCATCCAAATCAACTAAAACATATCTTTTATTTTCATATTCAAACTCTTTCGACCATGTTTCTGGTATTAAATGCATGATATTTCTTAACATATTCATTTTTTTAAACAAATAATTTAGCAACGATGTTTAAGACGTGAACAGCTATTAGAATCTACGAATTTGCTGAACTTTGGTATCTACCTAATGGTAAGCACTTTATGATTCATTTTGTTAACAAAAGTAGGGGAATCACTCGTCAGCTGATATGCTTATTTTTATAAAACAAACATTGCTTTTTAACATTAAGAATTAAATGGTACATAAGATAAGGTTTAATCTTTTATTTAAATAGTTATAAAACCGACTGAAAATGTTAATGTTTTAATAAAATAATTATGTTGGCATCAAAATAATGGTGACGTAAATGTTTTAAATGTCAACTTGCCAATCAAGGTCACCTGCAAACTGAAGTTGGTCACAAATACAAACGCTAAAAAGATAAGTTAAAAATCATCTTTTTATTGAAAGCGGTGGCAATTTAAGTAATTCCAGGGTATTTAAAGTAAATGTTACGATGGCGTCCGATTCGAAAGGAAATTATATACAAAAACCAACCGGCGACACTCTTCAAAATGCGAAAAAATTATTGATTAACCTATTTCCAAAACAATCTGATTGCTCCTACGTTTCTTGTTATTGGTGAGTGTTGATAACAATTTACTGATCATTATCAATATGATTTAAACGAACGTTTTAATTATAAACAGCGTTTGTTTTAATGGTTTAAGCGTTTTAAATAGAAATGGTAAAAAATATTGGTTTGTTTATAAAAGTAGAAAAGAAAGCAGCAAAACCACTTTAACAATGTTCAATTAAAATAATTAGTGACAACAAGGAATGCGAGTTTTTTGTTTCCCTTGGGACGTTATTAAACTATCTCCCACATTGATAACAGTTATATTTGCTGAAGAAAACAAGTCAAAGCAGTAGGAAATATTTTTATTAATTTGTGTTATTGAGATTAGATATTTCCTATCATTTATATTACCTAATATGTTATTCCAATGAGTTTCAATTGAGTGTGTGTACCATACAATTTTCTATTGTGTGTTATAACTTAATTTATTGATTTTCATTGTTAAAATGGAAAGAGAAGCTGTGTTTTTGGTTAAATGGTATTCATTCTTTTATATTGTCCAATGTTTTAAGATGATGTGTAAAATGTTTACTTAATATTATAATTTTAGTGAAGAAAATGTTTACAAGTTGTGCCAGGAGGTCATTAATAAGCATTCTGGAGAGTTACAAAAATGCTTTGTTGTGTTTATTTCAAATCCTAGTAGAACCATTCCTTTGTGGAGGCAACGAGCTGGAAGAGATGAGGATAGATTAGTTATATGGGTAAGTTTTTAATTCAAATTTAAAAAAATTTTGCTGATTTGAATTACATTTTTAAATTATTTTTTTTTCTCTATAATACCTGTCAAATTGTTGTAAAGTTGGCAAAATTAACAGGGAGTTTTGTTTCATCATGTTTTGAAATAAATATGTCACACTGACATTTATTTGAGCATTTCTTATTTAAAATATATATTTATTTATCTAAAAATTTATTAATATTTTAATCTCAACTATTTAGTTATTGAAAATGTTATTAAAAATCAGGAAAACAACATAAATTTTATAATGGTCCTAGGTAATACCAACTGAAACCCTAAAAAATGAAGTATATAATATACTATTTTTAATATTCTGTTACATATTGATGGACGTTTTGCAAGTGTTATTAATAAATCAGTGCCATATAAAAATTGTTCATATCATATATTTTTTCAATAAGTTCAACTTATCAAAAAGATCAATTTATCACAGAGTCTAACAGCAAAATGCATAAATTTTATCAAATGTTATACACTTATCCACCGTTGGATTAAAGAATAGTTAAATGATCACTTGGTCCATAAAGCCAGCTTTTGAAGATCCCCATAAAAAAAAGGCTAAAGATGGGAGCTCTAAAGATTTACTATCAGTGTCAAAAGTCAAGACCCCTCAATATAGAGTTCAATATCTTCACAACTTAAAAGGTGCATGAGCGAAATGCCACGAGAATCTTAAGCGCGAACGATGCACGTTTGTGTCTTCTTGATCTTACGCGAAAACTTCGTAAACGTCACCAAAGCGGCGTTTATAGAGGGGATTTTGAATTTTAATATTAATTATTACAAAAATTAAACAATTTTAGTATCTGAAAATGTTACCAATTTTTTCAAAGACGGTCTTTCTATTCTATTGAAGGTAGCGGCCCCATTAAGCTGCGGTTTCTTGCGGCCAAGGTATTGTTATAACATTGTCATTTTTGTATTTATGACGCATTAATAGCAGCATACAAGTTTCAATGAACGCCATTACTTATTTCGATTACGCTGAATATCTCAATAACTATTTTAATCGAATGTACAGTTCCACAAAATACGCTGAATCCAATTTCATATTGCTATAAGTCAGTGTTTCTTAACTTTTCCATTATTGTGGACCACTTGCAATATTTAAACAATCTGACGGATCCTTGACAAACTTAAGTGTAGGAAGAGAAAACAAAATATTTTCAAAACACACATTTATTTACTGTCACAGTAAAATATACAATTAATGCTGTTTTTTTGCGATAACTATGTTAAATTCTGGGATTATCTCATACAACTCATGACGCATATCATATTTTACGTCTAGTCAGTTCCGATTTTTAGTTATTATTGCAACTAATGTTGAGAATTTCGATTCACAAAGGTATGTAGGAGCAAACGGTACTAGCAACGACATATTTCGTTTCACCAGTATAGTGTAAGCTTGTCCTAAACATAACCAATGATCAACAGTGACTAGTGAGTGCAGTATTTTTAACGTCATCATGGACATGGACCTCCATTACCTGATATAAGTGAATAATAACAAATAGACGACATTATGTTAAAAGTTAGACTTTCTTGGTGGTAACCGTAATTGGTGGACTGAACGAAATGTAAGGTATCATCATGTGGATCAAAATTATTTTTAAATAATGAGTAGCCTATACATACCTATATCTTGGTTTTTTGCATTTGTAACTAATTGACCATCTATGTAGTTATGATAGGATTGACAAGAAAGAGAGCATCATTGAAAATCTACCTGGCGTTATGCAACAATCAATAACATTTTTAACCATTTTTGATAAACAGAACTAACCTTACCTAACATTCTTTCATGGTATAATTGACATTATAAAAGAAAACTAACCTTGCTCAACATTGTTTCATGGCATAATTGACATTACAAAAGAAAACTAACCATACCTAACATTCCTTAGTTAACAAATCAAAAACTGAAATAATAATGCCTTTTATTGAATTAAATAAACTTAATTACAATGTATAAATAAAATATGTAAGGCGTGGTCCAGATGGCATATCAACAATGTGCCCCTATAACGAAAATTTTATTACAAAGCAAAACGCGAGATAGTGAGCAATGTCACGGCAAACGAGAATAATTAAGATAAAAGGTAAAAGAAGGTAAAAGATGACACACCATATACAAATAAAAGTAAATTAAAAAAAAAATAAAAGAAAAGAAAAAACTATTGATCTCTCATTAGCAAGTTGACAAGGATAGACTTAAATTCTTTGAGAGATAACATCTTTAGGTCATCAGGAAAATCGTTGTAAAGTACACAAATCTGGTACGTGAATGATCTTCTAAATAGTGACAACTTATACTTAGGAGGAGAAATTCTACCCCAGAACCTCGTATTCAGATTGTGCACATCACAACGATAAGCACATATTTTGTGCATATATTTTCTGATATTTTGTTTGTCAGGTAGGAAGGTTTCCCACTGGTCAAAATTTTATTATAGAGACAGAGCGTTAGCAATTTACGTCTATTGAACATATTTAACCAACCATTGTCACGAAGTTTATGCGAAATACGAGCATACTTTCGAATACCGTATACAAACCTCAAACAAGCATTCTGCACTCTTTGAATGCATAGAGTATCAATACTATCAATTAACGCATGGTAAAGCGGAGCGCAGTAGGCAAAATGAGATAGAACCAGTGAATCACACAGCTGTTTCTTTAGTGTTAACGGCAAACGGCGACGATAACAGCAACGAAATCTGCTCTTTGTATATAAATGAGTTATCCATAATAACACCCAAGTTTTTTACACTTTCACTTATCGGAATAGTAACATTATTAATATTAATCAGTTTGTAAAATTTTCTTATTTCCAAAGATCATGAATTCTATTTGCTTGAGATCTTCTACTATTTTCTTTTGCGTTGCAGGATTATCATGTAATATTTCTATACCATCCAGAACCAGAAAAGTGCCTGGTATACGATTTAGATTCAGAACTGCCCTTTCCAACTTATGTGCACAAATATGTAACGGAAACATTTCGTACAGATCATATTTTGAAACCGGATTATTTTAGGTAAGTCCACATCATTATCGTTATTAATAACTTGTCACACAAGATAACTTAATTAACTAACTTTGCATCAAGAAAAGATTCAATCCATTCAAAACAGTTAATTATTAGACTTTTTTTGAACCTTGTTTTGCCACTTTGTAATGCAGCTTTATTTGTTTGAAAACTACAGGGGATCATTAACAAGTTGTGAAATGGTTCACTAATTTGCTAAATCTTTGTAAACCTATTTTTTTTTTTTTCAAAGAGGTTGTCGAAAGTACAGGGTATCATAAAAGTCTGGTAGTACGGTATTTCTGTTGATAAAAACATAACGGACGCACATAGAGATATCAAATTTGGCATATATTTTATTCAAACATCAACAAAAAATAATGTACAATCAATGTTCGAAGTATCCACCTTTTGTACAGCAGCTTCAGACTGTCGAGATTCTTGTGTGAAGTAGCAAAGGCCTTGCTCCCAAGGACTGATCACATGGAAAAGTCGAAGGGGTTCAAATTAGGCAAATCTTACTCTTGTGAGTGGGCGCTGAGTCTTGTTGGAAAGTCCAGGGAGACGTCCGTTGAAATGATACTGGCTCCAAGGAAGTACTTCCTTCATCAAAATATCATCAAGGTAGTTCTTTGAGTTGATCTTGTCCCCCTGATTCATAAAAATCAGTGAGTCTTTTGCATCTTGATGCTATGAATCCCCAAACGATGTTTGTGCATATATTCACAGTTGATATTCACCTCCTTAGCCATTTTCTGGGACTCCTCTTAGAATTATGGCTGACCTTATCTCAGACATGCTTGACCCTGGTGGGAGTCACGAGAGTCTTTGGTCTTCCACTTCTTGGACGTTCCTCGATGCTTCCAGTCTCCCGATAACGACGGATTGTGCATTTGAGTCACCACAGACTTGTTCAGCTTCAAAATCGTGAAACGGTCTACGTCGAACCATTATCTAAAAATGCCCAAAGCAATCCTTTGGATTTTTGGAGGAGTCTTTAGTAACAATAACATGAACATGGGAGTATCATTTCACATTCATACAACAAAAACGAGCAACATCGCAATGTTAACCTCCCGGACTTTTGTGAGACTTTGTACTATCCTTTGAGTATCTACCCCTTTCATAAGGAAATTGGTTATTTAACTTGAATTTATATTAATCATATATATTTTTAGGTATTTTCGAGTTATTTCAGCTGCTGAATTCTTAAAAGATTTTGCTTCTGATCGAAGACATATGAAACGACCTGATGGTACATGGATTAAACCACCACCAAATTATCCAGCAATATCAACCCCAAGTATTTGTTTTAACTTATTTTTTATCATTACTAATTATTTTTTCTTTTACTTTGTACACTTCTACAACGATTTGCTTTGTTTAGGTAATTCCCATAATTTAGAAGAGTTTATTCAAATGGATACTGCAAAGGGTCCCGGTCAAGTATACAATTTAATCCAATTCGTCCAGAAATTTTACAAGCCTGCAACATAGTCGTAAGAGATGATGGTAAAAGAGACAACAAACAAGTCAATTTTCTTTGTGCTCTTACGGTAATTTGTATTTTACAAGTGGAGCGTGGCCGAAATTAATTTTCGGACTTTTAAAAACGCGCCGATTCGCACCAATTTTTTTGGCGGCGCAAACGATCGCTTTTTTCTAACTATCTTCTTAACCAATTTTCTCGATACCTACGAATTAAAAACAAAAAGAAGTGAATAAGTAAATGAATAACGAGAGAAGTCTTTTCTATACATAAATGTTTATCTGTAATCACTTTTCTCTATCATCGATAAATATTAATAATTATACGAATATATGCTTAAATATTAGACGATTCCTTGTTCTAATCGTCGTTTTAGCGCCAGTTTTAAAAACTCGAAGGTGTTTTAACGTTTTTTAATGAAAGTACGGTCTAAATTATTATATCAATGGAGTATAATAAGTGTAATAATAATAATAATAGTTAAAAGTAAGGTTTTTCATGTGGTTTTGACTTTTTTGTATATTTTAAATTTAATTATAAGTTTTTTATCTCAGGGAAGTTTTGGGTTGGTTTTCTTTTGTTGTGAATCATATATTACTTTCATTTTATCATCAGTTATGTTAATAACACAATAATTGGAATATTTTATTAATTTATCATTGATTTAAGCGAAGCGGTTGTTTAAGATTTAAGATGGAGATATGAAGAAATATTTTTGAGTATTATTTTATAAAGGGCTTTTATAATTGATTGAAAACAATTTATTATTAACATTAAATATTTATTACCTTATTTATTTTGATAAATTTTATTAAAATTAATTAAAAAAAAAATTTGGAGGCGCCGGGCATCGATCCCGGTACCTCTCGCATGCTAAGCGAGCGCTCTACCATCTGAGCTACGCCCCCTATATATGTATTATAAAGGACTGGTTTAATTCCGGCGCATAACTGATCTACTTTTTCTTCTTTAATTCAGTACATTATGAATTCGACACATAAGATAGTGATGGTGAAAGTAGATCATTTTAGTCTCGAACTTGAATCCATTCAAAATGTTATTATCAGGGGGCGTAGCTCAGATGGTAGAGCGCTCGCTTAGCATGCGAGAGGTACCGGGATCGATGCCCGGCGCCTCCAATTTTTTTTTAAACATATTTTTTAAAACTACACTTATCTCCCGATTTACACTGAAGATAGGTTCTGCAGAAAACCGTGTAACTCGAAATCTTGGATTTTACGAAGTAAAATCGTATAAAACGAAAAAACCCCAAAATGTTTATTTAATCTAATGAGTTACTTATTTAAGTAAAACAAAAGCAAGACATCTTGGAAAACTCAAAATTGTAATTACTGGGATTCCCATAAATGTATATATTTTATAACCCCAGGAATCCCCTATTGTTTTCATCAGTACTAAAGGAAAAAAATTAAAAAACGCCATCAAATCTTTGTATATTAGTTTTTTGAAATTTGTTAATTTATAAAACGGGAGATAGGTATATATTTGTTTATTGTAATTGGTGTTTTCAATCAAATATGAATGCACTGTACATAAATAATTAAAATGATGCTAAATGTACATTTTGATAAACTTTATCAATTTAACAATGAGTGTTAAACGAATAAGAAAACTACAAATTTAATAAACATAAATATAAACTAATGGAAAATTTAAAATGATGTTAAATGTTGAATGTAAAATATTAATAATTAAAAGAAAATAAATAATAACAAATTAATCGTTCTCGAATTGTGAGGCGAAATTATACGTTTTTAACGTGGACAAACCCGAGAATGTAACATTTTTATTAATGTTTAAGACTGCACGTTTGCCTTCCATTTTCTCTCCTTATACAAAAAAATATATTATACACGGAATCTACAAAAAAGTAACGGTTTTTAAAGTACCATATTTCGCAAGTACAATCATTTCTTATTTTTAAGTCGATAACGATTTTTGTGATATCTTTTTACCATTTGGAATAATTAGTTTCTTTAGGTGTGCCTTTTTATATGTTTTTTATCACTAAGAATATTATAAATGAATTCTAATATAAAAACGATATGTGTAGCCTAGATATTTTTAATTATGGATATTTTATTGATTCCGAACGGTTTACGCCACGTCCTTTTTTAATTTATAAAAAACGTACGCTATGAATAAAGGTATACCAAAGAGGAACTTCCTTTTTTCAAAATAAATCAACATTTCAAATTCGAACGTTATTGCCTAACTTCTCATTAAAGTGTACCCAACCGATAATCGTAAAAATACCCTAGATTTTCTTTTGGGGATTAATATGTCAATGGGATTGCTTATGTCAAAGCTGTCAAGCGACGAGGAGCGGGTGACGTTTTGGGAAATGTGCGAAAAGCGAGTTTTCCGGGCGCGCTTCGTCGGTGTGCGGTGCGCGTAGAAGGAAAGGCGATGCTGGCGTCTTGATTTTCCATCGAAAATTCTGTCACGATAATCGTCTTGGCTGGCAAAATGGCTTCTGGCGATACCATCGAGGCCATCGAAATCGCCGAAACACCCAAAAACAACACCAAGGACCGACCGATCTTAAGTGAAACCCCCATGGAAAACGAAGGTAACATAAAATTATTATACAAATTACAATTTCTTTAAAACGATATAATCCACTTCAAGTTGATTTTGTAGGTCATTATCATTTAGGGTTCAAATCGTCTTTTTTATTTCACGAAATCAACTGTTGAGGGTGGTTATTGATTTAAAACGAGAGAATTTAAGAAAATATGATTTATTTTTGTTACAGATAAATCAAGGGTTATGTTGGTTACAAGGTCTGGGCAAGATGTAAGTAAATTTGGAATTTATTAATACCTTTTTTACTATTAAAAATTTGCTTTTGGAATGTGGATTTTTTTTGATAAGATAAGCCGATTAAATCTTTGTCATTGTTAAATTATGTTTGTAATGTGTTGGAATTTTAGCAAGTTATTGACTTCCCAGAGAAGAATTTTTTAAAGAATGCAATAAATGAATTTAAATATTTATAACATTAATAATGTTATTGTAATTTCTTTTACAATACATATACAGAAAATTCTTTTCATTTATCTTTATAAAACTTATTAATTGTAACTGCCATGGACAACTTGCAGGTTTATTCTTGTTAAAGAGGAAAGTTTAGCATGACTCAATATGCAGATGAGTAGCATTGAGGTTTTTTTAAACCTTGATAACATTGATTATTGCAATTTATATTTATTGTTGAGTAATAACCTTGAAATATAGTTTGATTTTACTGATATGTTTTAATGTTACCTAGAGATATATTCTATATTGTTTTAATATCAAAAAAATTAAAGCAAAAGTTCATAAAATTTTATAGGTGTTAATAAGATGAGATTTTATTCTTATTTATATTGGTATATTTATCAATGAAATAATATTCATTAATTAAATATCTTTACTTAAGCTATTGACTCAGTAGTCTTTACATTTACTATGACAATTCTATCATTTTTAACATATTTGTAATATAATATAACTAACTTTCATAACTAAAGAAAGGCAAAGTAGAGAAAATCATGTTTAAAGTTTTCTACTTTATAGTAATCCAATTTATATACAGAATTCTTCCAATTTTTGTGGTAAAGAACACATCAAATTTCACTCATAAATTATCCAAATCTGCACAAAACTCGTTTTGAGTCAAAAATGCACTTGTTTTGCTTCTTACTTATAGTTAAGGACGGAACATTTTTGTTGATCAATTCTATTTTCTGTGTTGTTATGTTATGTTATATTGCTGGAATGTTGTCAGCCTTCTTGTATTTTGTCACATTTTTGATTTTTTGCCAATATGTTTTTCCTCATTTTAGGAGAGTTGATTATATCAAGACTTTGTCTACATTTACTTTTTCTATGTTAGTCTTAATAGCAAATTGTTTCATTTTAAAATCAATATCTAATTTCACGCGCTTTGAATATCTTTCGTTATAAAGTTTTTAGAATCTTTGGGGCCATCTGCTCTCAAATCTTCTTTCAGATAAAACATAACGGTGAAACCACTTTTAAAATTTAAATTTTTTGGCCAGATCGTTCACGAAAAGTGAGTCACACTTTTTGTACTCAAGGTATTTGTGTTTACAGTGCGCTGACTAACAGAGTGTAACCCAACAGAAATGAAAGGAAAATACACACATGTAACTGATTTATTTTTAGAGATCTTGAGTGTAATATACTTGTATATCAGTTGATTTAATTCAAATTATTTTTGAAATCTGGATTTGTTGACATTATGACGTTCATTATTCTCATTATTACTGGAGCGTTATCAAAGCGTTTGAGTTCCTTTATCTAAAATAGGAGGATCTCTACCTCTGTTTATTCTTCTGTGACGTAACAACTGCGCATAAAGTCAATTCGATAAGAACGAAATGAAATTTCATTTGTGTGTATAACCTTGATAATAGCATATTTGTTAATTCAGCTAAAAGGAAGGTAAAAAATTTAATGGAAAATTTTTATGTTAATTGTACTAAGTATTTTTTGATCATTCTTTATTTAAAAAAACGTGATAGAGTAGGAGGAAGTTGTCACCCTAAAGGAAATGAACCCACAACGCACATGTTCTGTGCATAATTACAGCTTTTATATTATGTGGTGAGCAGCTGGTACTCCCGCTTTTATCTAAACGTAGCATTTTTTAAGGTTTCAGCTAAACTAGTCGGCTCCTTTGCTTATTTCACGGTTTGATAAATTATTTTTCTATATTATTATATATTATCTATTTTGTAGTATAAAACTACTATTATGGTTACAAAAATTAGCATGTCTTCCTTGATTTTTTTGATAAATTTTTCTTATTTTTAATAAGACCAATTTAATAACGACGTATTGATTCGTAGATGGAATTCAAATGACAAACACGTGAATTAAATGACTTGAGGTGGTGATGTAAGGCAACAAAAATAAATTAAACATCATTTCTAATGTGCACATAAGTTTCCTCTCGATAGTTGTTATCTAATAAATCGGTGCTACGATCGTGTTTTATGATCCAGTTATGTTCGTTTGATTTGAAAAACGTATAATAATAGGAACTCATGAATCGGGACGAGTCACGTAACGATCTTAAAATAAGAATTCTTAATTTATCTTGAAAATATACATTTCGAAATCATCCTTTTTACCTAACAAGGTTTTTGAAATAGTAATTTTCATTGTTTTGAAAGGATGAAGTAAAACGGAGGTTTTGTATAAATAAATTTCTTTGTTCTCTAATTTGTGTAGTACTTTAAGGTTATTGTTATTATTTTATTGATATTAATTAGGGATCAGATAGACCTCGCTTCTTTAATTAAGCTCAGCCTAATTTGAACGTCACCATACTAAAGACTTTATGAGCGGAGTATGATATCGTTTCGTAGATATTTAGGCATGAAAATGAACGTTAACGAGGTTATTGTCGGAGCTGAGCTATCAATTAACAGCTAATGAAGATAACTAGTTAGTAGTATTTTGTTCTTTGTGGAGAATTAATTTTGATATGACTCCATTAAATTAATGACGATGTGTCTACAACGTTTGTACAATTTATTGTAAATTAATATTTTACCTGATAGAAATTTGAAAAGTTTTCTGCAGCAATAAAAAATTATAATTTGAACTATCCTGTTGCAATGAAGATTGTTACAAAACTTTTTGTATAAAAAAGAGCTGACTTTTTCCTACTTAAAAAAATCAAGGTTCAAATTCAAGGTAGTCATTAAAGTAAACGAATTTTTTTAATTTAGAATTGTTTATTCTTATTTATTTGAAATGACTTTTAAAGTTTATAAAAGAGGAGCTTCTCAGGTTATTAACTCTTTAAGGACCAAGTCCGTGTATATAAGTACGCAAAATGAAAAGTGTCTTAAAAACCAAACCCGTATGCTACACGCAATATCGTAGGGATCAAAACCATGCGATTGCGTTCATATGGTTTTGCCAGCATTGTTCATAATTTTGATGGCACAAATTTGTTACAAACACTTTTTTTGATCTTGGCCTGCCTTAACAGTTGCTTTCAAACTTGTCCATCTGGCCCTGATGTATTTCCCTCCAATCGTCTCTTCCACCGATCTTCTTTGTATCTTTTATGTCCATTCTGGCTACTTGGCCAATCCATCTCAACCTTTGCACTTTGATAAATGATTAATTTATCTAAGTTTTGTTAGCTTCTGATCATATATTATGATTATATAATATCATAATATTATATAAAATAATGTATATAATATTATGTGTATTGATCTGCATGCAGATTCAGTAAGTACCATGGGATTAGAACCGCATGAACACGCATCGCCGTTGGTGTCCGTCTCTGGGGTACGGTTACCAAATCCGTCTTGGTCCTGAAAGGATTAAATTTAAACCGTTTTCTTTTTAATATAACAGTAAAGTTATGTAAATTAGACCATTAAAACGGTTGACGATAACCTTAATTAAGTCAAAGATTAGCTCGTAATAAAAATTAAGTGGGGAATTAATTGTTTTCAAGTTTGAAGGCTTATCAATGTTTAATCAAATAACAAAATTAGCACGTGCGTATGAAAGTGGCACCTCTTTAATTTTTAAATGATACAAAATAAAACGAATTAATACATTTAATGCAGATGCTCAATTTTTTACAACGTTTATCAGAATATCGACTATGATGTTAGTTCATTATCTGCACTGTGACTAAACCCTTATTTTTGTTGTTGCCGGAAGCGGCAACTGATCTCTTATGATTCTTTTTGTAATTCGAATAATGCCAGCTTATTCTCCTCATCTCTATCCTGTTTGGTACTTCAATCTTTTAATGCAATCCTCCATCGTTTGCAGTACCAGTTCAACTTTCGAAACTTCTTCGGCCACTATTCTGATATAATTTGCAAATATCAAGTTGAATTAACCAAAATCGGCTATGTTATTTAGAATTGGAATGAGCAACTGGGAGCAACCAATGGACCACATCTGCGAGGTGATTCAACAGGCATCTGGGAGTGTTGTTTCGATGAATAGTATTCGTAAGGAAGCACATTAGTGGTCCTGTTGCCATCCATAAGCCTTTGATCACAAAGTCTAACCGAGCTCAATTTTAGATAACAATGTGCTTGATTTCCTACCTTATGGCAGTTTGACGTAGTGGACCTATATTATTTTTAGGACTACAACGCTACCTGTCATGATGGGTTACTTGAAAGGACTGGCCTGCCCAAAAACTAGATTTGAATTGTATTGAGAATCTTTGGGACGAATTGGATCACCGAGTTAAGGGGTGCAACAATTATTTTAAATTTGTATCTGTGGAGAAGGGGTAGCTGTCTCACGTGGAGGCTCTACCAAGTACTGAATATGGTTTTATATTTCTTTTTTATTACATGTGTTCAAATACTTATTGGTAGCTAGTATATTTCTTCGTTGCTCTTTTTGGCAATATTTATCATATACGTAATAGAACTTATATTGTTTAACACAAGAGTAAATCCTTAGAAAAAAAGTATCTTTACATTTATTAGAAATGCACACCTAAATTCAAGAATTATTTTTATATTCGGGCTCATAACATGTTGGTTATGTTGTTATTTACATTTACTTCATTGTTTTGTGTAGACTATCACAACTTGTAATCCAAACAAGGTGGATCTTTAGCATCTTTAATGTATATGTATCCATCACTGCACATTGGATTGTGATTAATTACTGTGTAATTGTGTCGACGTGTCGATGAGTGTGAACGAAGAAACTTGAATTTTTATATGCATATTCGTAATTGCGATACCTTTCCAAAAATTGCGATTTTACTAAGAATAGCTATTACTGATAATGATAATGGTATCCGACCTTTAGTAATTTTGAAATGTTACTCAAGGATTCAAAAGAATGATGAAAAAGTATATAATTTGTGTCGTTTGAATTGCTCCGCTGAAAATCGCTCAACATACACGCCTTATAACTTGTTCTTTTAAAGACTCCATTATTAATTTGTGCATAAATAGCAATCCAATGTATTATAATCATATTATAGTCTCTAAAATTGTATCTGTCAATGGCAGAAACAGTTTTAATCCTCAGGAAGGTTGACATTGTCAGTTATGTGGGATTGAGTATAAACAATAATATCCCTCTGGAGTTTGGAGATATAAAACACATCAATGCTGTAATAACAATAATAATAACTTTTATTACTCTGTGACTACAAAAAAAAAAGAGAAACTAAGTAACGCTGTATAATTTTATATATACATAAACTCCATCTTCAAATGACTATTAACTTCTAAACAAATATAATCAAGTTTTATTCTATTATTATCAAGTTATTGTTTGTTATTATTATATTTTATGTTTTTTATAGGGATTACCTCAAAATGTTCTTACACAACCCAAAACTCCAACGATCCAAACGAAATCGAAGGCCGAAAGAGAAAAAGATCGCGAAAGAAAAATTGGTCATAGAAGGGTTGGGGTTGGAGGGGAAATTACGTACAAGAAGATTCAAAGTTCACAGATTATGGGCTCAATTCAGCTTGGTAAGTTTTAATAAAAATTTCTTATTTTTAAAACTTTAAATAGACTTAATAATTCACGTTCATTTAACACTTATTTTTCGGGTGAAACTGCGTCTTGTTTGTTAAAAATTTTAAAACGGCAGCTATGAGATGCTGTTAATTTTTACTGTTTACTGTGACGTTTTTAAACACATACGTAGCAGTCATTGACGCAATTATTTGTATAATTCATTTATCAACGACCAACAATAACATTTCTGACTTTAGCCGCTTTTTTTCTTTCGTTTTTTAAACGACGTCCAAATGTTTAATAGAAGTCGCACGTTTTTCCTCTATTTGTTAATTACGTTTTCCTTTTTACATCTAATTGGTTTTTCTGTTGGCTCGACGTCTTACGGGAACGCGGCTCCGCATGAACGTAAATTGATGCTGTTATGTCACATGGAAATAACAGTCCTCAATTACAGACTTCGTAGCCGGAGTCACCCAGCGTATACTATGCATGGCTTTGTTGTACAATGGGACATGTGCAATAATCTCACTTTCACATACCACGTTTTCCATCCTGTCGCATAACTGGGTGTATATTTGTTGCAGTCTTGGTTCTCTCAGGTATTTATTATTGGGTCGTAAATTTTGCGAACGCATGATCCGCCAAGATCGAGATTTTCGTTTATGGCAATAAAAGAAATGAGGTCGACTTCGTAAGTGGTTCAGTTTACGGTTCCACGCCTGTTTCGACCGGATAACCGTAACGTTTTAACAGGGTTTTATCCTGGTTTACAAGAAAATCACATTGGTTGACACTTTGTGTGTCTTTGTACGATTAGAATAAAAAATAATCTTAAAGTTGATAAATAATCGAATTTTAAGTGGAATTTAAAAGCAAAGTAACAATAGTAGTTCAAGTAGATTTCGTTGTAACGAAATTAAAAATGGAATCTTCCTAATTTGTGAAGTGGAACGAACGCTTTGGACGCGATTACGTTAAAATGGCGTTTTTTTAAATTGAATCATAGTTTTCAATTATGTAACATGTAATTTACATAAAATTTCACGGTTGAGTTTAATTAAATAATTTAGTTATTGAACGTAAATGGGATGTGTTGTTAACCTTGAATTTAACTATTATAGGGTCAAATCATATTATGGATCCAATAGAGATTTTAATTTATTGAACCATTTTATTGTTATAATAATAAATTGGTAATATTTATTAATTATTGAAATCATTGAATTGTAAAGCCGTTTCGGGAATAACTCCCTTGATCAAGTTTAGATAAGCCGAGGAACTACATTTATTATTATTAACACAAAATTGCTAACAATGAATTGGTACTTCAAAAGCTGTAAGATATTATTTGTTTTTATGTTAAACAAAAACAGGTAAACAGTGCAAAATGTCAAATAGTGTGCCTGATATTTTTGTGGAACTTTATCGGAACTTAGGAAGTATTTTAAACCTTTCACAATAAATTTCATCACTTATAAGCTGTGTTAAATCCTCTAAATGTGTTGTTACATCAAAGTTTAATTGAACAATTATTGTTTTACCTTGTTTACCATTACTTTTAAGATTTATTATGGTTGCCCCGTTACATTGGGTTTTATGTTGTTATTGCAATAAACATTGAATATTCATGTTTATTGATTATAAGTAACTTTTCGGTTTATTTGCATCGTTATCAACAAAGTAATGTGGATTATACAATAATGTAATACGTAATTTTTAACGTGTTCACGCTGGCTTGAGTTATTTATCAACTTTTGTTTGCACAAATTATTTGTTTATCAAGACGGAGGAATTTATCTGTAATGTGTCGCGAGAAAGATTGCAGACGAGACTATTGTTTGGAAATTATCAGTCTCCAATTTAAGGATATTTTTAAACAGAAAGTATCTTTCGATTCCCTTCAGAATGAGGTTTTCTATCATACAGCGATTTTTGTTTGTAGGACAAAACTATAACTCACTAAATTTAGTCTAAATACCTTGATAATCAATTGAGAGATTTCAGTTGTATAAAAAAGTATTATTCATTACATAAAAATAAATTTTTTGGTAGATTTATATTTGCATTATTCTACCTAACTAGATATAATTTTATATCTACGTCTTGGTTTAACTTATAGATAGTGTAATTAAGGTTATTAGACTAACCTAATACATCTGAAGGACCAAGAGCCAAAACAAATTTAGAATGGTATAGAACTCAAAAATTACCGTTTTCTGAAGTTAAAATGCGTTAAATATGAAGAATCCAAGCATGTAAAATGCAATAACATTAAAACCTTGTATTAATGTGGTAATTGTGGGCAGATCCATCTAATCAATTATAGAGAATGTGGAACTTGTACGGAATCTCTGCAACTAATTTAATTACTGTGTCAATAACAACTTAAATAATTCATCACCTCTCCACTCAAGGAAATTATCCTGTTTTTCTTCAGCTTATTAGGTTAGCACTATTACGGTCTATCTTGCAATGTTAATGTGGGCCTTTCCTTATAGATAGCGTTTCGGTTGTCTTCCCGGGCAAACGTGGCTGGTTTTCCTGCTTCTGTCAACATGGTATCTCCAACTAATTCTTCGTGTTCAGAAATATCAACCGTTTGAACAACATACGTAGTTGCTATTCAATCAGATGTACTGAGATGTCTGTTGTTCTTCGCTATTTTTTTATGTGTGCAATTTCATCGGCTATTATCTTTGTTATTAAGTTTAGTATTGAACTTAGGAAGTTATTCCTCGATTATTAGTTGGCTTTTTTTATATGATATAGTTGTTAAACTGAGATAGTTAGAAGTGTTTTTCTCATCCCTTTGCGGATATTGTATGTATCTTGTAATATCTTTTTCCTTCTCATTGCATCTTCAACCACTCCTATTATATTTAATTGCAATCTGGTTATGATTAGTTTCTATATTTGTGGAGCTCAAGACTCACATTTATTTCTTAGTCGTTAAAGATCTCTTCCTTGAATTTGTTTTTAGGCCCTTCACTATTTCGCTATCAATCTTCGTAATGGGATCACCCATTCTTATAATTTCGTCCTGCTTTGTGATATTGTCAAGAGTGTTTTGTAATTGTTGATAAAACCTATCTCCAATCTTGAGATTTGTTACTGTCCGGGTTGTTGTCTGTAACGTGTTACTTATGATCTGAGTTGTTAAGGTTCCTCGAAGATTGAACATTGTCTGCAGTATTAGACCGATTCCCATAAAAAAACAGCTTCCTTGCACGAATCCTCCAAATCTCCTGATACACCACAACGTTCCATTACTTATATCCATTTTGCTTGTATCACAGAAACCTGTTTAATCCCTCGGGAAGATTTACTGATTTTAAGCTATAGGTATTACTGAATTGACAAATTGTGGATGATAAAATTGCTATGAATTATTAATTAATATTTTTTTAATTTGATATTTAATCAATAAATGGTTGAAGTGTTTCTAATTTTATTAACACTTTAAAAATAAACAAAAACAACTAATTACACAATAACAAACTGATTCACTGGCTCATTATCAATTAGTTTACCAAAAATAGATTAGACTTATTCGTCATCGAATCTTACACAACTATATTAAAAAGAGAAATTGAATTGGTATTACCTATTTACTCAAAATATAACACTTTACATCACTACTACATTCGTATAATGTTACTTATCTATGTATTATTAATTATTTTGACGTAATTTAAATTAATCATCAGTTAATGTTATCGTCTTTTCAACGTAACACCCAAGTGTATAGTGGTTCCTGGTTCGTAATAAATCTGTTTTTATTTATTCGGTTCGTGTATGTGTCGTTTGGTTTTTGGTATGAGTAGGCAGTGTATAGTTATCAATATTTTATCTAGTGAAAGCGGTCGGACGCTCACAGCAGTTTTGTGTCGGCAGCGATCAAGGCAACAAGTTAAAACAAATCGACAAGTAATATTTATCAAATTTTAATGGTTTGTTTTATTTTAATTAAACACGAAAAATATTTCAACGCCTTTGAACTGGAAAAAAAAGTTCCTTGATCTCCGCTAACCTGTTCATAGTTGCGCGACGTAATCTTATCTACATCGTGTGGCTCTTAATTATTCGGTACTCTAGGTTTCCTCTTCAGTCTGCCGTGAAATGTAACGGCGTACGTACAGTTTTCAGTTTAGTTCGGTGTAAAGAATTAAGTGAAGTTTTTTTTTGATTTGTGAAGTTGAAGAAAAATGGTTGCTGAAAAGGAAATTTACTTTGGTTACACTAGTGGACTTAGAAAAAAAATTCAAATTGGTATGACTTTAATTCAAATTGCAAATCATAAAAATTAAATATCGCACTCCTCCTATTCATTCCTATTCAATATTAGCTTTAGACTAAAATGCATAAAAAAATCCTTATTTCTGCTTATTAATGGTGATTATATAATTACCTTATAAATGATAAATTCTATTATTTATTTCTTTGAAATATATGATGAACCGATTAGCCAACAAAAAAATGTGTTGATAAATCTTTCTCTCTGTTTAAAAAATTACGACAATCAATGGATTTCATGGGAAATTGCTTCATGGTTATTATTAACGTTACGCAAGGTTATCTTATATAAGTAGTTTTTGGTGTAATTTTCAAATAATTTAACACCTGAATTGCTTATTAAATTGTTCCCTTATTAAGTTATCTCCGTTATAATTGTTATTATATTCGGTATATAAAGTATAAGATTATAGATAATAAATTGCAATTTCATTGTTTAACGATTTTCTTTTCTAAAGCCTTTCAAATGTAAAATCGAAATAAATTTTGGGAGTTTCATTTATTATATTGGACGGAAAAACTAATTTCCTCGAACAGAAACTTTCGAAGAGCCGTCATCCGGGTTTAATTTGAGCTCTTCTTAAAAACTTTTAACGAGTAAGACCTCCGGTGATATATGACCTTTACTCAAAAGTGTAACCTAAATACAAGAAGGTTCGGTTTGTGTCGCAACCAACATTTCTTAATATTTGCATTTTAATCTATACATAATCTGAAATCCTTCCCTTTTTTTTCTGTTGTACGCACAGAAATAGCTGATCGTAAATTCAAATGATTTATGCCTTTTAGTACATTTTGTTCGGTAAACGCCGTATTTCTCTGCGCTTAATGGCATCATGAACGGATGAAAACACGATTCTAAGCAAAAATTTGATTTCACAATCGGTCTATTTCAAATCGATCTCAAAACCATACTTCATCATAAAGAAAAACGATAAATATCAGGTGATGTGATCGAAAGATTCTTGCATGTTTACGAACAAATCCAATTTGGTTAATATGTGAAGAGCGGAGTTTGCGTGCTCCTACATTCACCGACCTTGCTGATAAAAGAGTTAATTTATCAAAAATGTTTTGTTAAAAGCGGAGGTTTAATATTGATGTTTTAAGCAAACTCAATTCAAATATTTGTGGGTTTAATGTTTGTGGACACTTTTATCATCATTTTAATAATGATAATTTTATTTTTAAATATTTCCGGTTTTCGGAGCTAAATTTGTAACATCAAAAAACATTTATTTAAAAAATTGTTATGTTTAAGTTATGAATTAATAAATTTGTGATAATATATTTAATTTCCTTTAATTTAAATTAAAAAAATTATTTTATAATCTAATATTTTATAAAATTAGTATTGCTACCCTCTATACTAATATGATTACATGTTGAAATGAATATTTCAGTGACATTATTATCTGAATAAATGAAATTGTGTTAAATTAGTTATGCGTCCATAGCACACGTGTGGTGGTATCACTACATAAACGAAATTAACAGAACATGTCTACATTTTGTGTTGTCATACGTTTAGTTGACTTGATTAACTCTAGAAGCTTTATGTCGAACAAGATTGATTCTCTTTTAATTATCTTCATGTTTTTAAATCCCTCTCTTACAATTCTTATTCTAATTACAAAGTAGTACTAATTACTATTAATTTTAATTGTATGCAAGGTAATTCTTGCAAAAAAAATGTAGGTTGAAAAAAAATCTAGTCATATATTCTCCGTTAACGTCAACACTTTAGTCACGTTGACCAATATTAAGTATCCTCAATCTGCTCAGTCGAGTACTTCTCAATTGACGAATTTGGATATGTGAAAGTTGGTGTATTCTTTTTTATACTCCTTAGGATCTTTATATCATTTTGGAAACAACTGATTTTATAAATAAAAATGTTTCAACATTTTCGAGATACTTAATTATTAAATCGTGTATAAATAGCTATGCTGCGTTAGTTTTATTATAATAGGGTCAAATAGAAACACGTTATAAATGAAGTGCACGTTAATACCGGTGTGGTAGTCGAGGCTCTGCGATACTTAATGATTGAAAGAAGTTAAAGCCGAGGTTGCTTCCGGCCGAGGCTCTACAATACTTAATGATAGAGAGAAATTAAAGGCAAGGTCGCTTGTGGGCTAGGCTCTATGATCGTTAACGATGGACAGAAGTTAAAGCCGAGGTCACTTGCAAGCGAGGTTCTATAATCGTTAATGGTAGAAAGAAATTAAAGCCGAGGTCGCTTGCCGACGACGCTCTACGATGGTTAACGGTGGGGAGAATTTAAAGCCAAGGTCGCTTGCGGCCGAGGTTCTACAATACTAATTGATAGAGAGAAATTAAAGGCAAGGTGGATTGTGGACGAGACTCTAAGATCGTTAACTATGGTGAGAAGTAAAATCTCAATAATACTTAATGGTAGAGAGAAATCAATTGTCAAAATCCTTAATGTTTAAGCAATGATTATGTCGTCATTTTAAATGCTTAAATTTAAGCCGATTAAAAGCGAATTGGCGATATAAAATATTCCTTTTCCTAAAGCTTTTTTAAGATGTCCAGAATGAAAATCCGTACATAGTGTTGTTTTGTAAAATGTTTTTCAGTTTCAAAACTCATTTATGTAAGGTACTGTCTGCCGAGACGATGTGTTTCATATTTATATCTCGTTTATATGCAGGTATCTGAATTATACCTACAAAATACAATATCCGACAGTGGTAAAAAACGTTACATTAATTTTGGGGAAAATTAAATATTATGTTTATCAACGTTTTTCATTATGTATGCGATCAAGACTTTGATCAATAAATCAATAAAGAACAACAAAATTCACTGAAGAACCGTAATTGGCGAAGAATTTTTATCTAGAAAGGTGTCGATTTTAAAGTAAAATAGAGTATTTGCAAATTTTGCCACAAAATTTCTCGAGAGACAAAAAGTTTGGTATATATTCTTGCAGATAAGCAATTTTAAGCTTTTTTTTTACAAATATTATGAAAATGTTTATTGTGCTTTGAGTTTTCTTAGGAATCTATAGCAAGAAAGTGTATAAAATTCAGTATTTACTCATCACTAATGGTACTCATAACGGTTATGTTATTGCAAAATATCGGATATTCACGAAAATATCAATTTACAAGAAACCTTTACAAGGTTTAGATAATAGTTATCTTTTCGAAATCAGTAATGAGTCACCATCATATCCGAAAACTTTTCGGACTTCCAACTGCGGCGGTCACAATGGGATTAAGTTCACGGTTTCTCTTCGACTCGTTCTTTTAAAAACCTAAAAGAAGCACGCAATTGATAAAGTTGCGATAATCACTAATCTTTGTTTAATCGATGAAAGACAAAAAAGAAAAGAGAATACGATGAGTAATGTAATGATTGTATACATTAAAATAATAAAATTGCGAACCTAATATTCGCAATTTTAACTGTTATTATCGTGTACATAATAAAAACCACAGTAATTGAATTCATGATGTGTTAATATATATAATAACATATAATTTTGTCTTTTTCTGTGGATTTAGTGACGTAAAACCATAATTAGATCGTCAATTTATAGCTTTTATGCGGTAGAATAAAAAATATAGTGCTGTTTATCTTAAACGGATTACATTTTTTACGTATATTTTTATAATATTAAATAATTATTTGTGAGACGATCTTTCTCACGACGAATTATCAATTTACCTTTACATTTTTATATTCTAAATTCTAATTACCATTCATTAGATCGATACTAATGATTTTGTTATTCCATATTTAAAATTAAATGTGATGATTAAATGGATTCCCAGTAACATCTCGTTCAATAGAATTGTTTGTTACGACAGGTTCTCTGTAATTGATACAGCTTTATAAATAAATTTACGGACAGCCAAAATTGTTTCCGTCTATTTACAAAATCGTTTTGATTAATTTCTTTTTTTGATTCGTTGGCAGACAAAGCGGTTCTCTGTTAATCGGCGCCGAGTAAATATTTGTTCTCAATTAATAAATCAAATTAGGAAATTTCTAGAATTGTTATTACTACTGTTATTCTACACTGGTGAAAGCTTAAGAGCGATATGGAATTAAGAGATTGCAGTCGAAAATCTCTGTGTAATTGCGATTTTCTAGAAATTTACTTCAAAAGTTTTCGTATCAATTTAGTAATTTTCCCGATTTCGACTACTTTCTCGTCTCCTTTAAACGTTTTCACGCCTTGAATAATTCTCTAGGCGAGACCTTTACTAAACAGGAAAACGGTAAAGTGGCGCAAACTGATAACAACCAACGTGTATGTTCAAACTTCTCGGGCAGAACGCCAAAGATTACCACTCTATAGGCATCTTGCCAGTGTTACAATAATGTTTTATTCAACAAAAATGTCTTTTGTAACTTCTTGCACAAAAATAAATATTTCAGATTTTTTTATTTTTCAAATATTTGATCAGTTCATGGTCACCATATCGCCTGTTTAAAGAAGCTAAGATCTTTAGAAGCTTGTGTTCTTGTAATTCAGTCAAGTACTACTTGACCACGTTCATTTTATCACCCTTTTTTTACTACCTCATCATCTTTTGGTGTTAATCGAGTATCTGATACTTTCTGCTTTAAATCAAAGGAATTGTAATTATATTTTATATTGCACTTTCTTGTATAATAATAACATCTTCTTTATTACTTTTGTCATTATCAAATTGATTAACTTTGTTTGATTTGTATCGTTTAATTGAATTAGTAATACAATTAACTTTCTCTTTTTTTAAGAGAAAGTTTTTTAATGTTAATTTTTTTGGATATTTATTGGCAATTAGGTACTAGAAAACTTGACCTTGAAAAGAAAAGTTAATTTCCGGTTGATAGGTCGATTAGATTCGATTGGTTTTTATTGTTAGTTTGAAAAGGAACAACCTTATTGTAAAACGTCCAATAATTTACCGTTTAAAATCGTGCGAATAAGGTGACAATTGTGACGTAATGAGGCGAGGTCGTTCCAATAAATTATCACCATCTTATTAACTTTAGACGTCAAAATTCATTATTAATAAATTACCCCGATCTAATAATGGACATTTGTCGGGTATGATTGACGCAACTGTTTCACCTGGTCTAAAAATGTTGTTGTATTTCTGTCCAATTCTACTTTCGAGTTATGAATGGATGACGTTCATGGGCATGCAATGTAGCACCTTTAAATAACTTGAAACAATTTTTAGATTTATTTCTTGAAAGGTCATGATTGTATTTTTATTTTAAGAAATTATTTTATTTATTCATATTTATTTATCAATCTCTTTCAAGGTATTCAACATGCTGTTGGAGGTTTGGCATCAAAACCAGAACGTGATCTACTCATGCAAGATTTCATGACTGTCGAAACGACGAATTTTCCAAGCGAAGGGTCCAACCATACTCCGGCTCATCATTTTTCCGAGTTCAAGTTTAAAAATTATGCACCCATTGCGTTTAGGTACTTCCGAGATCTTTTCGGGATTCAACCGGATGACTTTTTAGTAAGATTTAATTCTCGTTTATAAAAATTGAATATTTTTTAAGGTGTTACTTGTAGATGTCGATGTGTAATTCTCCATTAAGGGAATTATCAAATCCTGGCGCTAGTGGGTCCATTTTCTACTTGACGGAAGACGACGAGTTCATAATAAAGACTGTCCAACACAAGGAAGGGGAGTTCTTGCAGAAACTCTTAGCAGGTAGCATTATGTTTCTATTGTTGTTATTTTAAAGTGTGGTGTTGATGTAATTCGAAACTGAAACGGTGAAATTGTACGTTCTGTCGAACGTTTTCACCAAGGAGTTGAAATTACATAGGCTGGAAACTTTATACTTTAATATAAAGGTGCTTGACGTTACGATGTATTTAAAGAAATTTTAAGTATTTCAAAATTGTAATTTTTATAAAAGAGAATCACATAATCGATTTTATATCAATTTTAGGTTACTACATGAACTTGAACCAAAACCCAAGAACTTTGCTGCCAAAATTTTTCGGACTTTATTGTTATCAATGTAATAGTAAAAACGTTAGATTAGTTGTTATGAACAATTTGTTACCAAGTAATGTTACTATGCATATGAAGTACGATTTAAAAGGAAGCACTTATAAAAGAAAAGTAAGAAATCAAAAATTAACTCATCATATATTATTATTTTAACATTTTTATTTTTTTCGAGGCTTCGAAAGCTGAAGTAAAAAAGCGTTCGCCAACCTTCAAAGATTTAGATTTTATGGAACACCATCCGGAAGGAATCTTATTAGAAGCTGACACCTACAGCGCGTTGATAAAGACAATTCAAAGGGATTGTCGTGTTTTAGAAAGTTTTAAAATCATGGATTACAGCTTGTTGGTTGGTGTTCATAATTTAGATCAAGCTCAAAGAGAAAAATCGGTTTGTTTTTTTTACTATACTACATTGCTCCTTTTTACCTCATTTATTTCAGCAGGAAAAACGATCACCATCTAATTTAGATGACGTTCCTGAAGACGGCGAATTAGATCTTAATGATCCATCAGCGGTAATGCTAAAAGCTGAAAGAGAGCGGGAACGTGACGATCGAATTGGAGCTGCTTCTCTAAACAGAACGAGATCAATAAAACAAAGATTGGTGCATCATTCAACGGCAATGGAAAGTATTCAAGCTGAATCTGAACCAATAGATGAAGAAGATGATGTTCCGTTAGTACTTTTTATTTAAAATTAAAAACAAAAAGTTATAACATTTTCTTTTTGTTGTGCAGCCCTGGTGGTATTCCAGCAAGAAACGCTAAAGGTGAACGACTCTTGCTTTATATCGGTATTATAGACATTTTGCAGAGTTATAGGTTAAAAAAGAAATTAGAACACACGTGGAAATCGATGATTCACGATGGGGTAGGTTTTTTTTGGTCGTATTGAATATTTTTGGTGTTTATTTTTTTCTTTAGGATACAGTTTCTGTGCACAGACCCGGTTTCTACGCGCAACGGTTTCAGGAATTTATGGCGAAAAAAGTTTTTAAGAAGATACCCTCACGTAAGTATCAAAACTACAAGTACTTCCTTTCAGGTCTATCAACGTAAATGTTGCTCTTTCGATGTATGTTGTTGAAGACCCATTTTATGAAACCAAAAAAAGGATAAGAAAGTTGTTAGATTTTGTTAACAATTGGTTCCTACCCTATTTAATTAAAATGTCACCATCAATCATATCAGAAAAAAATTATCTTTTATGAGAGATAAAGTGGGAACCAAATGTTTTCAGTTATCTTGATTAAAATTATATTAAACGTTGATTATTGGAATTAATTAAAAAATTAAACATCCCTCCCCCATTTAAGGACAACCCGAAATTGATCAAGATTATAGATTTTTTTGTAGTGCACAATTACCCCATTCACTTTGTCTCGTTTTACTGTACTTGTTTCTTTATGTGATTGTCAACGTCCCTTTGATATTTATTAAAAGTGAATAGGGTTGTTGTGTGTTATTTGTGCATTATTATTTTAAAGCTGGTATGTACACATTAGAAAATTTTAATCAATAGTTGAAATTATTTAATTTGAAAAGGAGCAATTAAACTAAAACTCGATATTTTAATCCAAATTCAAATTTACGATTATGTTAAGTTTAATATGTGAGTAAAATCATATTTGAAATGTATTTTTTGATATATTCTTGTTTATCAAATACTTTATTTTATACAGGATGTTTCCTATGTTTTCTACCTCTACCTTTGTTTGTTGTTCAAGTTATATTAAGGAATTTATCTCTTTCGTTTTTCTATTTCTATTAACATTACTTCTCTACAACTTAACCTCTATGACATTTAAGCAATCAACATTGTTTCTGAATACTCCCAGGCAATAGGTCTATAATTCTACATAGTATTACTATAATTCAAATTCGCAATCTGTGCCTTTTAGATTTAGCAAATAATATAAATATCTTAACCTACTTTAGTGATTTTTCTCAAAGATGTTCATAATTTTGAGTGTTAGTTTGCATACTGAGGTGGTCCATGAACACTATGATAAGCAATTTAACGAACCCATTGGCTTTTCTTGGGTAAGAGTTAAAATGTTTTAAAAGATTGCCCATTTTCTGTTTTGGTATTGGAGAAATTTGTGTCTGTTGACTTCTATATCTCGAATTATCCTCTAAGTCGAATAATTTTCGTAAGCTCAAGCGTTTGACTAGGTTTCAAATGTGTTTTTATCTCTCTAACTCGAATTTCTCTGTAACTCGAACCGAACTATTATGGAATTTCTTCAACTTTTACTTCTATAAGTCGAATTTACCAAAGAATAAAATATTCGAATCCGTTCTGTAAGTAATTTTAACTACAGAATCAAACCACATAGACTCAGGCTCAGAAACTACAGACTCTTGAACCAAAACAAACCTAATATTCTTATTGTTTCAGAATCAGATGAAAATGAAATACTTATCGCTTATTTCTCTCTTAGAAAGCTTGAAAACCTTTGTATTATCAATAGAGAATGTTCCAGATAATATTCATAATTCTTCACATTTAATAAAAGATTTTTTCGACAAAGAGCGGTTGTCCATTTTAAGCCAAAAGAAAATTACGGATTTCTTTAAAAAACTTGATTAATTTTCTACGTAATTTACTACTTAATTTTCTACGTATTAAGGTTTCTGTTTTAAATATAAAAAATATTAGAAAAAACATTTCTAATTTTTTTTCTTTAGAGCTGAAATTCTACTAATTTTTCTCCTACTCGAATTCTCCATAACTCGAAGTTTTTTTCTGCTCCCTTAGTGATTCGAGTTAGGGGAATTTCACTGTATTTCTTTTTAATCCCAACATTAATCTAGATAACTTATCAAATACATACATAGTGTAGTTATTGTGTTATCTATAAATTGATACAATTTGTCTCAATTTCCAATTATAGCGTATATTTTTTACTTTCCACAGTTAAATTAATTTTTTATTACTTGTATCATTACTCATTCTCTTTAGCATGTCAAGTTGTAATCGATAGTCTGGTGCTTTACTTCGTCTGATTTTGCAAGTTCGTCTTCAATTATTTAAAGCTCTTCTTCAAATTTTTGGTATATGGTGTTAGTTGTGTCATCATCTATACACCACATATTATAACAGAACTACTATTCACTCCATCTGCTTTTTTACTTCATTTATCTTATAAAGACCCTCCATCTTTTAACAAGTGAGTATATAAATGAGAACTAAAGCAGGAGCTATTCAAAGTTAGAACCCTTTTAGTTTGTAAAAGTAGTTAGTACTCCTTGCTCAGCCGTATATCAATTGATAGATGTCTTATCAATAATAAACTCTAAGAGTTTTTATAAATATATATTCATTTTCGTCAATATAACCCTTTTCCGACCTTTTTTTTTATAGCGTATAAAGCTTATCCTTCATATATTATTTCTCTTATTTAGCAGATTCCCGTGTTTATTCTCTTTTATTGTGGCCAACCTCTTTATACTGCCTAAAGACCTTAGAGGTTTATATAAGAATTCTATTTTTAACACATTAACTACAAGCATAAGCATCTTAGAGTTTATCGTTTTGTGTCGGCAAAATTTTACTTGGACATTCCATCATTGAGTGGTCCTACTCCTCTTCATGAAAAACAACTTCAAATTTTGTCGAATGAATATTTTTTCGTCTGAACCTCATCGATTTATTTCTTGATTCGACAATTTACACAAACCTTAATAGATGATTTACCTTAAATCCCCATAAACACTTTCTACACTTTTATTGTCCTAAGACAAACACTTTTAAACTTTCTGGTTTTATATAAACCTTTTGGAATCTTTCTAAAGATTTTATGAAGTGTCCTCCCACTTCAATTCTCCCAGAAAAAACTGAAACCCATGTTACTACCGCATACTAATATTAAAAAAAAAATTTTTTTTATAATTTCATGTTACATTTTTGTTAATAATTAAAATTTATATATTTTGTAACTTTGAAAATTGGATTAATTTATTGAACCAAACTTATCCTCCCATATTGCTTACCAGCTAAATTTACATCGTTATACTCTTAATGTTAATTTGTGTTGCGTGGTAAAAGTTGTCCTTAGTGGTCTACCAAGTAGTTACTATCTGACTATATGTGTGTGTTTCAATGCTTCATGTAGTGGACTTGCCTGAGATTAAGGGCAACCATCGCAAGTTTCGCACTCTGGTTACCAGCTATATAGGTAAAGTCGCCCTCACCAAGTGCTTTTATACAAGTTTTTTTGTCGTTTTGTTATTGTTTTCGTTTTTTTAACTCAATTTTTTTTACACATTGGTTACGTCCTCCGACATCGTTTTTTGGTTAACGCTTGATTTGTCTGATTTAAATTTTTGTTTTGATCTTTATACGTTGCTCGCTTCTCATTTTTATTCTGACCCCTTAACTATTTCTTCCAATTTTATTTTAATTACATTTTTAATAGTAAATTATTATTAGTAGAAAAGTATTAATTTTTAAGAATTGCACACATTCTTTTTTTTTTGATAATTTTAATTTAAATAATGTATCAAACCGAATTTATTTTCCTTCAATGAAATTTTAAAATAGATTGAAATTTTTTATTATACTATATTTATATTTTTTTAACTGACTCGACTAACGATTTCCAGATTCACACAAATCTTGTTTAACTTGTCTATAACGCACTGCTTAACACAAGGTAACGTTAAATGTCGGTCCGTTTCCGTTCGTTATTATCGTTCCGTGTTTCTTTTTTCCGTTATTTTTGAATTCGCTGTCAAAGTCCCGGTTGGTTTAGTGTCTATTTTGGAACGTGTTTTTACAGCATCCAGGCGCAGACTAACGACTTTCGAACCTGTTGTTACAGCTCTTAAACATTCGCCATCAAAGCGGAAGTCTCTATCCAGACCGTTGCGCGCCCAAGAAGAACACGACAACAACAGTAAGTTTTTTTTAGTTTTCAACTTTATCGATTTTTATTCTATAATCATGAAAATAATTGAGATTGAATGAATGATATTGTGAAAATGATCCAAAACATTTCCTTTCAATGTAATGTTTATTTCACATGCAGCCCCCGCACAAACACAAGTAAATTCTAATCAGAACGGGAGCAAACCTGGTGAGTTTGGTTGGTAGAATATTTGGTAATGTTGAAATATCTGAATGTCTAAAATAATAATATAAATTAATTTTAACTTAGTTCTTTCATTGGATTATTTTTCAATGATGTATGGAGCATGTCGTTTTTATTACTTTTCTCATTAAATCACTTTATTTTATTGAATTTCCTTTTTGTGTTGTATCATCAAGAATTCTATTTCTGATTCTTCTTGGAAAACGTTTGCTTGATGCTTATGGCCAACGATTATTTTCATATGTAGAAATAATTACTTACCCCAACAATATTAAGGTTCAATTTTTGAAAACTAATTTTCTTGATTCTTACTAGATTACAAACTTAAAATTATTTTGTAGACTATTTATTGTAACCCCTTTAATTTAAGATTAATCGTTTAAAACTTACAAAGGAACATTTTAAAGTTTCCAATAATTAATTTTTTAATTGTATTATAAATGTTTAAAATTGTAAAATTAAGTACTATTTTAAGTCCTTATAATATGTTTTCCGAGCTAAATCCTTTGTTAGTTTTTGTGTTCTAAGAAACCATGTCTTTTTTAGTAACAAAAATTATTTTCTGATGTATTTGTGTCTATTATAGTGAGCCCCACAGAGATACCCCCCGCGAAAATCTCACCCCCCGCTGTAACGTCGGCGCCAACGTCGTCCTCCACGCCCTTAACCTCTCCCCCTGCATCCTACCCTGCTGTCTTAGTCGGAAGGCACACATCCTCCGCGGAAATAAAGCCCAAAATACCGCCGCCGGTGCCCCCTCGAGGAACACCCAAAGTGAAAAAATCAGGAACGAATGGCAAAGGTGCGCATCAGCATCACCAGCTACACCAGCAGCAGCATGCGACCCGATCGGATATTTGCTCGCATGTGCTTATTGTTAGACCCGAATTGCATGATCACCTAAATTCAGCTTTTTATAATAGAGTTCCTTTCGATCCCGCGGTTCCTTCAACCTCCGGCTCGAAAGAAATGTACATAGATAGAACTCTGAAAAATGTTAAAACTAATTTTGATTCATTCCATAATTTGAAGTTTCCAAAGAATATTTTCCCTAGTGCAAGATTGAGAAGGGTTAAGAATAGTGAGAATTTACCAGAATTTGCTGAGGTATATCCTACAAGAGATTATAATCAATTACGGTTAAAAAGGAAATTGGATGCATTAGAAAATCGGAGAATGTCTCAATTGCCTTGCCAAGTTTTTGATTTTACCAAAACATCTCCAACAAAATCTGATCAATTTTATGATTCAGATTATGATGATTTAGTATAAAATTACTAAAATTATTTTAGGTTCTTGAAATGTGAAACAATTTTCATTAGTTGCAAAATTTCTTAGTTAGCTTTACATTTGTCATATTTGCATCATTTTTTCCATCCAGTATTAATGTAAAAAGTACCGGAAGTGCAACTTTTTAAAATCAATTTTGTTATGTATTTCACCAAATATTAATGATTGATGGGAGTTAATCACATTTCCCTTACAACAAGATATTGAGAATCAGCTGTTTGAGAATTGTTTCAAAGTTTGTCCAAGATGGGCCACAACTTTTTCTCTTAGATTCAGCTCCACTTCAAATGATCTTAATTTCCTCCTCTATCTTTGCACATATTTGTACAAGATTAAAAAATAACTTTCTGAACAACATTTAAGTATTAAAGCTGAATAATAATGTTCCTTGTCCAATCCCAGCTATTAGCGCTAAATATTTTTTAAACCTCTCATAAAAGTAACTTACTTATAGTATATTTTTTTGCCAGGTCCACAACCTTCAACTCGGAACAACCACCTTTGCACAGTATCATGACCCGAGTTTTTTTTCTTGTTGACCTTTTTTTGTCGTTTCGTTTTGATTGTTGGTTGGAAGCTTCCACTTTGTTACACTATTAATTTTTTATTTTCTACAACTTTTCCACATTTTTTATGTTTTCATAATTTTTTGGAGTGCGCTTGTTTTTTCGAGTAAAACTATACACCATACACCTCGAAACGTTGCTAGCGCTCGCTGTAGTGCCATATGTATATGCTTCAGGTGTAGCTCCCAGTTGGTGCAGTACCCCGCCACCACCATTTGAAGAACTCGAACATCGTTCTACCAACATCGAGAGTAACACTATGACCAGTAGTAGTAGCACGAGAGTTAGGGTGTCTTCTCAAACAAGTCATCATAGTCACGTGAGAACTTATAAGGAGGATACAGTTAGGTAATTATATATTTAAAGTTTTTCTTTGAATGTGTAGATAATTTATTATGTTATATATTTCAGTATAGGGGATATTAGATTGGAATCACGTGCTGAAAATAAATCATCTCTAAGTGTGGAATCTGGTAGTTCTGGAGCTGGTCATTCGAGTCACTCTAGGGGTCTTGCGTGGACCCCTCCTGCGTCGGTGGAAGGTTCAACGCCTACGTGGACAGAAGGAACACCCTCATTTACAGAATCCTCCAGCAGCGGCGATATTGGTAAGTAGAAAACTCCTAAAATATTTTTGCATGCGCTTGATATTTCTTTTTTTCCATAGATTAGATTATTGATTATATTATATTCTCTTATCAGATTTGATTTTTGTTTCTGATTATTTAATTTTTTTTCGTTGTCGTTTTCTCACTTCACTCTTCTGCATTTTAGTTTTTATTTCAAAACTAGCCGAGAGTGTTGAAATATTCTAGTTAGAACTAATAATGATAATCAATAAGGCTAATCTATGTAAAAGAAAAAAAAATTATTAACATATCACGGTTATTGTATTAACGACTTTAATCCGAACTAAGATATTTTGTGAGGTTTTGGGGTTAATTCTGCACATCAGAAGAAAAATGTTATGTAGCACTTTCATTTAGAATTTAAATAGTTATCATAAAAATTAGCCCCGAAATTTTGCATAATCCACAAAAAAAAAGCAAGTTAAAAACAGTTAAGAGAACCTGAGAGGTATTATACAGGATGTCCGACGACGCCGTTACGTCAAGCAACATTGACGGCACTTTCAACTCACCGCAAGAAGACCGTAGATGAAGCCCTCAACAATCTTGCCACCGAAATGGTGAGTTGAATCCTCTTTGCGTGTAAACTAAGCCAAATCGTGTGTTTTATTCTCTTTATTAAAATTGATTTTGTAGCGTTTTATGTTTCTTTTGATGTGTTGTAAAATATGAATATGGAATTATTAATCAAACAATGTGGATAATTTTAACATCAAAAGAAAAAAAAACTCTATGTTGATAATATAAAATTTAAAAATGTTTTAATTACGGTTTTAGTAAATTATTAATTTAATCAATTTTATTTAAACATTTTTAAATTTTATTTTCTTAAATTATCGTTCTTATGTGTGATAGGTAGAACGAAAACAATTTTCATTCGTTTTAGAGATGTGTAGTTCTTTTAGAGTAATACATAAAAACTTATATAAAATGAGTCAAATTTAGGGCTAATTTAGTTTTATTTTAGATTTTTAATAAGTATCTGCATTAAAAAAGTATATAGCTGAGGCCTGTTTTATGAAAGATGTTAAGAAAATATGTTACAATTTCTTGGAAACAGCTCAACGCATTTCAAAAGCAAGATATTACGCGATAGGAGGGGGATAGCATTGAGACTTGCTATTATGAGTTAAACATATTCCCCAAATTTCATTTTCTTGGTGTTTATAGTTCTCGAGAAAAATAAATCAAACCAAAATTTTCCGCCATTTTTGTAGGGGTGTAGCTCCTTAGGGGAGCCGAAGCCGCCCATGGTTTATATATTAAAGTACCCTTAAAATTGCCTAAAGAATCACCCCTGAAGTTTGGTCACGTCATTCAGATACACCCTGTATATTTGGCCAGTAGAGCTACGTAAAACATATAATTATCTAGTAATCATAATCTTACAGCAATCTCTTCCACTTATTATTCTAAGGGAGCGGTTGAACTAGAATTAGAATCAATATATGATTTGGGCGGTTTTTGATTAGGTGTATTTCATGTCTTTTTGACTTCCCGAAGTCCTGGATTGCATATATGTTTTGATTTCTAGACAACATGAATAGTTTTGTATAAACCATTCGCTGATTGTGCTCATATTACTTATTCCAATTTTGGCAATATTATCCTTTCTGAATATTTTGTGCCATTGATCAATAAACTTATGTTTCTCATTTTTCCTTATGTATCATATCTCTAGTTTACTGCACAATATTATCTATTACCCTTTACCACATACAACATATTGTCTATGGTCATCATGTGCTAGCGTATGCGTATTTCCAATTTACTTGCTCTTTCAGTTTCATTTGTACAATTTTAAGGAACAAAATATTCCATAAGAGTGGTAAACTACTGAGATCCTATTCCCAAACTGAGATTCTTACCACATACTTACTGATGTCATTCCTAAAATTAATTTTTTAAAAACAGTTTTACTCTTTGAAGTCTTTAAAGTGAATAGTTTATTATTATACCATTGAATATCTTTAAGAATACTTTAAAATGTTTAATATTCAAGATATTTATCTCCATTTCTTTTAATATTTATACATTTTTGAAACTTTAGGTATTAATTCTTCTTTCCAACAACCTCTGGTGCACCTTTCCCTAGACATAGTCATTTAGATTCTTGCCGCACATCATTCTAGGCATAGTTCAAAATGTTTTGGACATAGTTAAACAATTTGTTCATAGCTCCGCAGCTCATATTGACAAACACCATTTCTTTGTGGAGACAAGCAATTGAATAGTAAGTAATAGTAAATGGATTAGTTTCTGAACGTCAAGTAATGCAATCGATCACCATGATTACAACCAATTGAGAAAGAGTAACTACCAAGACAATTTATATATGCTCAAATCATCTAGGAAGGATCAAAGTATTCAAAAGATAAAAAACCAATTGGTCCGATATAGATTTGTTATCTTTCTTTTGACGATTTTGCCTCCAAAGCAGAACAAAAAAAATCGACTACCTTGCTCCAACTCGGCATATGTTTGAAACATTTCTGGAAAACTGTCAGAAAACTATATTGTCGAAGAGAATGTTAAACTCAATGAAGTGGTAACAATTTTCCGAGATAGATGTGCACTTTGGCAGTACATACCGTCCAAACCGAATAAGTACGTCATAAAATCAACTTTGCCCTTGTTGATGTCAATACGATGTATACAGTAAACATTGAAATGTACATATACTATTAACATCTTAAAGGTATAAGCAATAAGCCATGTGAGGTGGTAAAAGATGGCTAAGAACTTATTTTCAGTTATAACGTTCTAGCGCAAAAAACTCGATGGGGATGAACGAATCAGCTTTTTAATCAGCAATTTATTCTTTGTCTTTTTATCAGGCAAAACCTTCAAATAGGCTTCAAAATCAAAAAGTTTTCTTTTTACACTTCTATCTTTCGTTTCATCCCATTAATTTATTATTAATTAATTAAATCATACAATACAATATTTATTTAAGATATTATTTTAAAAATGCAGATACTTATTAAATACACATCAAACATCCTGATCACACTATTTTTTTAAACGTTGTAAATTAGTTGTTATTACACTAAAATCGTATTGAAATTTAATTAAAACAATTTTTTACTTTATAATTTTATCAGATTTTAATACGATTTAAACATAAAGAAGACATAGAACATGTAAATTTAATTATTCTTTTAAAATCGAAACTAACATATTTTCTCTACTTGGGTTGAATAATGTTTTTGTGTTAATAATAAAAATAATCCCTTTAAAGAAAGTAATTTGTTCAAGTTGTGGTTTTATTTGAAATTTATTACTGTGCTTAAGTGTTTCGATTTATTTGGCACGTGTCCAAAAGGTCGTTTAAAACGTGTTGACTCGGCCAAGGTTGGGTTAAGTTGATTTATATAGATTACTTTATTTAATAAATAAGGAAATTGACAATCTTATTGATTTATAAGAAATAACATAAACATTATTCATCCCAAAAAAAATTATGTTTATTTTGCATGACGAAATTAAACGAGATTATTTAGTGGTGAATACATGCAGTGTATAAAAAGTAACCAAAAACTAATTTTTCTATTAATATCCATCAAGTTTTATTTATTTTATTTTATTTATTTATTTTTTTGTTTGTTGCTTCATTATTTTCATTATTACTCGTAGTAGTGATTATTTAGTAAATTAAATTTATTATTGTAAGATACTTCTTTCTATCTTATATTATTTAAAATTATTCTTGTGCTTTCCTCGCTGTATTCACTGACGTTATCATCTTTGCTTTTTTTTTCTTGTTTTGCCTGCTTCTCTCGGACCGTTTTCAAAATCTTCACATCAAAACCAATATAACAAAATAAAGCAACACCTGAAGAACCGCGTGGAAAGCGATTACAATTGAATGGAAATCCGCAATCGAAATCAAGTCGAATCCCGATTTTCACGTGAGGTGCTGTATTCAAAAAATAATTATTACCAGAGAAGTGGTAAAATGAAATTCTTGAATGAAATTATAATTCTTTTTTGAATATGGACTCGTTTTCATCTCCTTTATCGTTCTAGTTATCTTTTTGTATCTACGATTCTCACTCGTTCGATTCAAATGCATTTAAATTCGTTTGAATCCTCGTTTAAAAAAATTGTGATTTTTTGATAGTTATTTAATTTTTTTTTAATAATACTCGATCTCGTGTGTAAATACCTAATAATGATTCGGTAAGATTCAATTATTTTATGTCTTAAGTGACTAACCATCATCACTCAAACCAACGAATGAAAATGAAACACATTTTGCTTGTGCTTTTATTAACAAAAGTGTAAAGTTTTTGTTTTATTGTCTTAAACTTGTGTTTATTTTATTTTTTTTTTTTTATGATTGTTTGATAATTTGGAGTTAGATTTTTTGTAATTTTTTTTGTGATTTATAGACCATCAAACGAATCTATTGTGCGAGATGGGAATACTCTTAATAAAACCACAAGTAATATGTGTCGTGTTGTTGGTTTTTTTATTGGATAAAATGTATGATATTATGGAATTGTTGGTGTAGAATAAGTCATGAATATTGAGATGGACCTATTGTAACAAATTGGTTTTCTTTTGATGGGACATTCCATTTTTAAGTCTGTACTTATGTATTTTTATTAAGTAACGAAACAATTTGTTATTAGATCTGCAAAGCGTTGTTTTCCTAACTTCTTTTTTAGCAAGCTTTATATTAGAAAACACCGATTAAATTGTTTTTTAATTGAAAATAATTATGCAAATTAGATATGGAAAAATGTAAAATACTAGTCTTACTTTTTAAATACCTACTTATTTGTTTATTTTAATTTATCACTTTATTTAATCTAACTTTATTATTTTATTTTTTAATCATTAACATCACTTCTTTTGATACAGTGTATTTTAAAACAATAAGATTTCAAATAACATTCCAATCTGTGTTTTGAAACAATCATATAAGGTACACTGTATAATTAAAATTTTAGGGCACTATTAATCCCTTCTTAATCCAACAATTTAACAAATAACAGTCTTGCAACATAATTGAATTAAATTGATTAAAAAAAATTATTGAATGGTGTCATTATACTTTTTTATAATGTAACATAGCCAACATTTTAATAACAAAATAGAAAATAATTACATAAGGTTATATGGTTTTTGGACACATAGAAGCAAAAGATATTCTTAAGGGTAATTTTTATGCTGGTTACAAATCTTTGGTTCATTTTTCTATACCAATTATATAATAATTTAATTTTGAATAATTACAACCGATTTCGGAAATTATGTCATCGCCAGGTTTCTACAGAAACAATAAATTTATTTGTGCTATCACCATACGAATAGCATCGCCTAAAAGGTATGATATCAGGTGGTATTTCTGAGGTGGAACTGGTAAGATATTGAGTATTATTGACTTTTATAGTAATTTCTTGTTCTCTCTTTTACGACATGCTTGTACAAAAAATAGAATTGATCAGGTACTTTGATCACAAATTTGACTCTTTGATCCTATTCTAGCAGAACACAAATTACAAGCTATCGATGTAAGTGTCAGGTGGCACACTAATAATCATGTGTGAGGTGTGGATTCACCTTAATATATGTTATTTAGGAATCATGTGTACTGTTCACTTCTTCAATAATCTGCTCGCTTAGTTCTGGTAGGGTTTGAGGGTCTTCAAATATCACCACAGAAAGAAGTCACATATGCTTAAATCTTCTTTACATATGCTTAAATTCTATTGCTTGTTTGCCAATTGTAATGATCATAATCTTTCGCAAAATTTGCATGAAACACAATAAGCAGCAATTTCAATCCTTTATTTCTCAGAAAGTATATGATTAGGGACTTAAATGCCAAATACATACATTGTAAGGTTCCTATAAAACGCACCTATAAAGCAAATGATCTAGGGGAAGGTCGTCTATATTGATTTTAAAACAGATTAGCCTTCTTCATCAGGTGGATGAGAAAAATCCTTACTCTACTTACTTTTTCGAAGTGTCTTATTTTATATTGAAATAAATTTTTCTGACCCTCTTAATTTTAACCTCAACATGAACAAATCACCTATAATCCTTCTCTATCAATTTTTCTCTTCAATTCTCTATCATCATCATCGGTTCGACAATCCATTGTGAATCCTGACCCGCTCTAAAAGTCTGGACTTCTTCAAAGTCTTAAGGTCATCCTCGACATTATCCATCTAATGCGCACTAAGGTGGCTTCTATTTCTTCTTCCTTCCAGTTTATCTGTCGTTATTTTTTGGTGATCTCCGAATCTAGCATACGATACACATGATCCCACCATTTCAAGCGACTCAACCTCAAAATCCTGTTCGATCACAGATCCGAATTTCTTTCTGAGGACTTTATGTTCAAATATGTTTAGTGCTCATTTATTGTTTTGGCTCAATATCCATGTCTCCGCTCCATATATAAGAACTGGCCTCACTAGCGTCTTGTATATTGAAAACCATGAAGATCTGTGCTAATTGGTTGCAGTGTTGGAACTGGATAGGTGTTTTTGCCATCTCTTGATTGCCCATCTATTTAGAATTAATATGTTGTTACTCATTATATTTCCCTCTTCGCCTCTACAGTTTTTAATTCTGAGTTTAAATTCTTTCCGTGTTTTATTGAGTTTCTCTATGTTCTCCATCTGTTCCTAACTGAATCATCTCTTCTTTCTCCGATGTATTTTTTTTCCTTCCTCCTTAGGCCCCTATACTATACTACTCTTTGGGTGTTTTAGTGCAGCTAGTATGTATTGTTTTTAAATAAGCCTCATTTCTTTTTGTTGCTGCCTGGATGAAACAAATCGTCTTTTGCCCTAGCTTAATTACTCCCACCACCTCTTTTGACTGTATAATTATTATCTTATTGGATCTTGCCCACAGTTCACTAACAGTACAGACTACATTTAATGCCTATATTGCTCCGACTTATGTTCATCGTTTAAGGCCTCAATGTTTAAATGGTCTCTTCATATGGACCTTACGTTCTTTATGGTGCATATTCTATCTCTAACTTTGCCATTACTGGATTATGACCGCTATCTATATTTAGATTCGCGCATTTTCAAGATATTGTCATAAAAGGCCGACATGGTCAATTTGGTTAATAATGTCATTATTGTTGGAGTCCTCGTGTAGACTTTCAAAGCCTATAATTGATAGAAATAATGTTTCTCTTCCATCATGTTTTTGGCGCTTATCATAATGTTTATCTAGTTGTTCATAGAAAGTTTGCTTTTTGTGCATTTAGCCAAAGTGAATACATTTTTTCATTAATTGGTTTGAAGTATATTCTCTGTAATCCCCTAGAAATTAAAGCAGTTCTATGTATGCAAGCTTGTTTATTATTATAAAAAAAAAGCATTCTGAGTAATTGAGAGATATTTAATAAATTAAAAAATATTGGGGGTATAGTTGAGATATATTGCAAGATTTTGAGAGAATTGAGTACCATCAAAGTATTAAAATACCTTCACATCTTCTTCTACGTATTTTAAAAATAATTGATACTGAAAATCTGATCTGAAAACAACAAACAATTTTGATTGAACAACTGATTCGTAATCAATGCATAAAAACCCTAAAGTGTACAAAAATTGACCGATATTTGTAATTAAAATAAAAAAAAATTATCTAATGTATCGGGTGTTCATTAAAACAACCTAATGCAGCCAAACATCATTTTAAATTTGTATAATATTTTTTTAATGAACATCTTTATATTGAAAAATAAAAAAAAGTCATTTACATCACCTACTGTAAAATGTTTTCTCAAAATATCTTACTAAAATACTTGAAAAAAACTGATTTTTGTTCGAAAATGTGCCTATACGTAGTTGTTTTTAATTAGCTAATAATAAATTGAACAAAAAACATACTATTATAACTTACGTGTGCCACTTGTACAAAAAAAGCAACGTAATCTTAGTATTTGTAGCTTGTGTATATAAAAATCGAATTGGAAATGTTACAATAAAACAAAATCACCCGATGAAAACGAAAAATTCTAATCATTTTTATCGTAACATTTCCGCTTACGATTTTTTTTTTGATATTTCATCGTTATGTAAATTGTCGCTCAGGTACATAAACGTTTTTTCATAAATCAAGTGTTTGGGAATTGTTGAAACATATTTATATGTACTCATAATCAACAGTCATCATCTACACACTTTTTCTTATTAAAAAAAATAATAAAATTTTTTATATACGTCATAACATCATAACAATTAATAGATATTAATGTTAATTATAAATAAAATTAGCTGTTGTTACTCGGTATATAGGATGCTTTAAAATTTGCTTAAATATACGGAATATTTCAACAAATACTCGACTAATGTTTTTTGTAGATTTTAGTACCCTTTCTTCACTTTCACATTTTTATTTTTATTTCTTGTAAATATATTTATCACAACATGGATATTTATGTTTTCATGTATTTACTTTTTTGGGATACAGTAAAAACTCGATATAACGGACCTCATTAGAACTGACTTGACGGATATAACGAAGATTAGAAACGGATATAATATTATCTATTTAATACAATAGATAATATTATTTAATAATAATTATTATTAATAACTTGTGTTATTCCCCAAGTTGCTCTTTTGTATATTTTTATTGAATTATCCATACGTCTCTTAAGACGGCTAAATCCGAATATTTCTAGTTCTTGGTCTAGTTTTAGTTATATTACTGAGCTAGATTGTTGTATATTTGTATTGAACTTTAATTTATTGAATTTTTTATCCATTAAATCGAGTTTTACAGTATTAAAATTGATAGAGGGTTGAGGTAAAAACTTTCTTTATAGAAAAACTGCTTTTCTAAATAAACTATGATAAAAATATAATATTTTTGGTTGTAAATTTTAGCACGAACGCACTTTCGACGAATCAAGATTTACACGTATGTTATAAACGGTAACAAACCATTATTCACTGAACTAAAAAATTATTTCTACACCTTTAAACGCTTTAATTCAGCTTAACACCTTTTTTTACATTTAACTGAAGAAATAAATTTTTGTTTATTTATGGTTACTTTTTATTTCTGCATGTTATGGTTTAAATTAAAAAAAATAGCATGGCTTAAAAATTTAAATTAATAAAATTAATTTTAATAATTAAAGTTTTAAATTTAAGGTAAGCATTTTATTGAACAAGAATTAATTCAATTTTTGTTTCTAATTTTTCTAATTAATAATTGATTGTAGACCCGTCTCTAAGACGAAATAGAAGATAAAAAGGAGAAGAAAGACGAGAAATAGTCAAGAATAAGTCTGAAAGAGGCCAACAGCACAGAAAAAAAGTTGCCTTCAATTCGTCAAGATTAAATTACTAAGTCAAGCCCAAGTAAAAAAATAATAAAATTGAAAAATTGAATGCAATTTTTCCATTAAAAATAATCAAGACTTGTGATCGTATTTATTATACTTATATAATATTTATTTATATACGTAACCATTTTAGGATTTAGTAGGTAATTTAGTCATGTGATAATTATTTTTAGTTTAATTTAAATTTAATTTAAGATTAAAGTAATATTTTAAATTGTCTTTTTAAATTTGTATTACCCCCATTTTCGATATAATACATGAATAATTGCTTAAATGTTTACAAAAAGAGCTTAAAAAAAAGGAATTCAAAATGTGTAAAAGACTGTAGTCATATAAGCAAAATAAAGATAAACGAAATACTTACTCGGCCTGAATTCTAACTCAAATTCTAACGCGCCAAATGGATTGATTTCTATTTTTAAGGAAAACATAATATGAGTCATAAATACGAACTACTAATAACATGTTATAAACTGAATATTGCAATTTAAATTAAAGATTTGCCAATGTTTTTTTTAAAAAAACGTTGCGTCAAAAAAGTTTTAATAAAAACCTGTACCCACTCAAGAAAATAATAAAACAGTTTTACTTGACTTACTTTATTGTTGGTAAAATAAGTTTCAGGTATAAAATTAGTTTTTTAATTTTTTTATTAAATCATTTCCAATTCTATTTTAAGTTACCAAGTATTATTGTACTTTCAAAGTAATTTCAAGTGATTTTTCTTAAACACACCATTTGTACTTGACATTTTTGTTAATGTAAGTATTTTTTTTTGTATTTCATTTAGTTAATGTAGAATTTATTTATTAATAAATAAAATATTTATTGGATAATTGTTGGCCCAAACTTTTATTATTTTAGATTTTAACAATTTATTTCTTATATGTTTATGACATACTCTCCAAACTGAATACAATAGAAGCGAGTTTGAAGGAAAGCATTCAACATATTTTAATGGAAACTATTGAAGATTATAATACAATTCAACACATCATATCTGCTTATCATCTTACTCCATTTTTAAGAAACACAAGAAACCTCTGACACCTTTGAACCAAGGGTACATTATTCAAAGCAGATAACATGTAAGCTTTGGTATCAATGTCTAGAGAGCTAAGTTTAGGTCACATGAAGAATTTTGCTTGGAAAGCTATATTTTCCAAATTTTGATCGTTTGAATCGTTTTATCGCACATCTAGTTCAATAGTGCCACGAATGTAAAAATTTCATATTTTCAGTTAAGGCTGTATTGCTACAGTTTATTACAGTCGGCATGCACCGGTATATAGTCACAACTCATAACCCTCATATATTAGCACCGAGGTGCGATATTTCCTTATTGAAGAGAACGTATTTTGTGGTGAAATATAGTCACAACTTGTAGTTATGGCACTGCGTTACTAAAAATCCTGATCTTACAATGAGATACTGCCATAAGTTGCAGTTGTGGTTTTATAATTTTAGCAGTACGATATGCTATTCTTGAATTTTAGGAATGGTCTTTAGAATAGCAATAAGTGCTATTAGAAGAGGACTTAATCTAACGTGGTCTTGGCGTTATTGTCTTCTTTTGCGAGCCCATCTCACAATGTCCTGGATATTTCTCTGATATCCTCACTTCTTTTAGGTGTATCCTGTTAATGACCTTAGTGTTTTATCTCCGCTGTTCTCAGGATTCTTTTTTTGGTAGTATTTTCTGCTCTTGTCTCCATAGCGAATGTCATAACAGGTCTTAAACATATCATATATGTTTTGCGTCTTCGTGGAGGTTCCTATTGTTTGTAATATTGCTGCTAAGATGTTATGAACACATCACCTATTCTATTAATTCATTGTACAGTGTGTTAATTAATTATCGTACCCGACGTCATCATTGTAAGTATGCAACCAATATCACAGTATAGGTATTACTATACGCGATTTGCGATATTGGTTGCATACTTGCAATGATGACGTCGGGTACGATAATTAATTAACACAGTGTATATATTGCCAAATGGAGCGTAATAACTTTTAATTTCATTTAGGCCCACTTTTACCACCTCTTGATAAATTTAACCGATAGATAAATTGGCGCTCTTAGCCAATGAGAGTGCTTAAAACCGCTGTAACCATGGTAATTATCTGTCGGATAAATTTATCAAGAGGTGGTAAAAGTGGGCCTTAATAGTATATTATTATATGAGCATATAATGGGCGATTATCCACGAAGGTTAAGTTTATGTCACGAGCGTAGCGAGTGGATAATAGCTCATTATATGCGAGTAGAATACTATACTTTGTCCACCACTATTGAAATTGATTCCATAAATTTGTTTTTTAAATAAATTTTTGAATAAATGTTAAACGTCAATGTGACACAAATTCAATGTTACTAACTGTAACCAACTTCACAACAATTTGTCAAAATTAAATGTCAGTTTTATAAAACGTCGTTTTCTTTACGAAAATTAATTAATTTATGCTTAAATCATACGAAAAAAGGAATTTGTTTAGGTTTTTTTAATGTCGAACATTTAGAAACTCCTAAAAAATTGAATTAAATTGACGTTTTTTGAAATTTTAACGTTTCAAATAATTATAAATTCATTACACTACTATTGTGCCATCTAACGGCCAATAAAAGTATTAGTGGCTTCACACAAGAAGTATCCTATTCCTTGTCTTAACCTCTTTAAATATACATACAATAAACCTGTTTTCTTTTTCATAATTTAATTTGGAATACAATATTTAGGTACTAATACCTATTTATATTATAAATATGTCGAAATAATTTATGATTTGCTTAAAGCGCATGCGTTTTTGTACAGATTTTGTAGTGTCGCCTGTCAACAAGTGTTTACATTTCACTTCCAAGCCTTGAAGGGGTTTTCATAGAAAGAAACAATATCTTGTTTAATTTCCCTACCTGGAAAAGATTGTATTTAAATACGTAACAAGACGCGTTATGCTTGATAAGATAATGTTGGGAATGGAGGCCGATTCACCAGTACATTCAGTTTGGAAGAGTGATTGTAAGAACACCTATTTAATTTTTTCCTTCAATTGGTACACTAGAATTTATTTATAATAACATGGTTGGGGTTGGAGTATTTAACGATTTATCTATAAAACAAAATTACCTATCAAAACGGTGTAATTATTTATATCCAGAATCCTTTTTTTATGTTCCATGTATATTATCTTTAATATTTACCTTAAATATTGGTTTAATTTGATTTTTCTTTTTTTAGTGTATCGTATGCAACTATGTGCTCCAGTTCCAATTCCAATTATTTGTGAAGATGTTTTACAAAATACACCAAATTATCTTGGTCGAGATTATCATGGTTCCATCTCACACACGTTAGCTAATAATTTATTAAAACCACATCCTGATGGGGCTTATTTGGTAAGAAGTAGTAGATGTGCTAATGGAGAATTTCACACTTTAAGTTTAAAGTAAGTAAATAAAAACAATTTTTTTTTAACTACAATCAAATTATTCATTTTAAGGAGTGATTATATTTACTTTTAGATTTCATTTTGTTTGTGTTAGATTATTTCTAAAATTATCATTACTATTTCATAAAATTTTCAAATATTCAAGGTTTTCCTTGATTTTGATTAACAAATTTTTAACCTTGTTATCTCATTATCTAATTTCTACAAAACGCTTTAGTTCTACTACATGTTTTTTTTTAGATTCAATGATAAAATTCATCATTATAAACTTTTTTATGACCCAAAATATGGATTATATGTCCGAGAAAAACGCTATGACTGTGTTAGATCCTTAGTTGCTGATGGATTAATCACAATGTACTTGGAATTAAAAGTTCCTCATATGCTTGAAAGACTACCGACAGCTAATTATCTGGAAAGTCCTTATATGACCTTGAATAAAAGGAAATTGAGGGCTTTATCAAAAAATCATCTTAAGTAAGTATAACAATCTTTATTTCTAAAATGCACAAAAACATGGTACATTTAATACGCCAGAGACGAAAAAAATATATAAATATAGATTGCAATAAAGCTTTTAAGACAGATTTTACCTCAGTAAGAAACATAACCTCAATTCAATTGACAGTTAATTTCTAGTTGCTCATAACTCTTTTAAAACTGTTAATATTCTTTCTAAACCATCCAAAACGGGAAGATCAGTGTCAGCTACATCTAATTTATTAGATTTCGAACGATTTTAATTTTGGAAATTAAATTTTAAATTTGTAAATTTCAAACTACTTTTGTGGTTGGAGAATCTTAAAACCTCCAATTTATATCTGAAATGGAAGGATATATGCGTCAAATACGAAATTTCATCCAGATTAGTGAAGAATTAAAGAAGATATTAATAAAATAAGTTTTGGAATTTTGAGTAGTTCGAAAGAAATCCGCTAGATGGCATTTTCGAAATTTAAAAATACCAACATATATTTCTTCCGAAAATATTAGTTGTAATCTCAACAAGTTTAGTGCAAATAACTTTACTTTTAAGTTTATTAGAATTATTTTGTGCGTGGTTACAAATTAAACAATTAGGTAAGGATTTAATACGAAACATCATGGTTAACATTTCTTATAACCTCACAAAATGTGACGTCACATCGAAACTTTAAAGTGATTTTTTGGTATGTTCTACACTTTTCCGCACTTTTTTTTAGTATTAACGTCTTTTTTGGGTCATTTCCTATCGATTAAATAAAAATCATTGATTTTTAGGCCACAATGTTATTCTTGAATTATGTTTCTTTCTGTTAGTCCTGTTAGTGTACATGCTGGAGGCAAGCGAGAATACAACATGGTACTGTTATACTCTTAAAGTGTCCTCCACAGCTTTCCCTGTATCCTAGCTGCTTCAAAATCCTTATTGCCTTTTTTGCATGTGAAAAATGCAAATGTGAGTATTCCATAACCTGCCATACCATGAAAGTACGCAAAATACACATTCTTAGTTCTTCTACACCCAATATTTTTGACACCACTCGCTGGCAATACAGTGAACTCGCTAATTTCTTTTTTAATTTTATTATGTGATCACCCCAAGGAAGGGTTTCAGATAATGTTACACCTAGAAATGTTGTCGTTCGATTTTTATCTCTTGTGATTTTCTCGTATAAAAGGAATTTTTTCCTGTTTAAGTGTAAATAATTCTAATAAAGTTGATTTGAACGAATTGTTGGCTGCATCTAACCTTTTTTTAATCTTTTGATCTAGGTCCTGAAAATCTTTTGAAGTATTTATGAAAGAGGTGTCATCAGTATATAGGCACATAAAGTCCGCCTGTATATTTTGAGGCAAGTCAGTGCTGTACAATAAGAATAAAAAGGGGCACTGTGGTACTCCCATTTCAACCTTCCTCCAATTAGATATTGTTTGATTCCAATAAACCTGTTTCTGTCTATTATGAAGATAAGAACCGATTAGTTCCGAATTTTTTTTAATTTTTGCAAGAGAATATTATAGTCTACAGAATCAAAAGCCTTGCTAAGATCACAGAAGGTTACTTGCGTGTAATCTTGCATATCAAAAGCAGCTATTATGTTTTGAATTACAGTAAGAAGTGCTGTCATTGTTGATTTTTTCTGTTGGTATCTGTGTTGATACTATTGATATTAGTCCATATTTACTTTTATCATTTCGATCCCCTGGTTTTTGAGTAGGAATGACTTTAACATACTTTAATTCATTTGGAAAAGTTCCCTCTCTTAAGCATTTGTTTAATAATATACATTATACTTCACTTACTGTTGATTCTATGTTCTGAATTAGTTTCGTTGTCATCCCATAAACATCTTTTGTATTTGTCTTATTCAAATTTTTGATTATATTTTCTACTTCTTCTCCAATTTCTTCTAGTTGCATTCCTTCTTCAATTTTCTCAAGCCCAATAGGATTTTTTATTTCCATATTAATAGTGATAGTGAGTTTAAAAAAAATTGATTTAGATCATTTGCGCCCAGAAGAGAATTATTTTCTTTCTTGCGCCTTGTTTTTTCAGTTTCTTGCTTCACTATATTCCAGGCAGCAGTTATTTTATTTTCTGAATTCATCATAAATTGTTTATAAGCTTCTTTTTGTTGTATTATCTAACAGGCTTCTAAACTCACGTTTTTTATTTGATACAATTCTTTGTATTTCTTTTCTTTCGTTACTGTTTTTCATCTTTCTTAGATCATCTGAATTTTAGTATTGATAGTACATGTTTTCTTTTTTATTGTTATTTCTCGAAAAGCAGACTGATAACACAATGTAATTATTCGATGAAACTTTGTATAACTTGTTTGCGCATCAGTGTTTTGATCTTTTATTATTGCCCAATAACTATTTTTTAATTCACTTATGTAATGTTCTTCCTTTATTTATTAGTCTTATTTTTATATGTTTATTCTTTTCGGTTTTACATTCAAGAATAATTGTTGTCAATTGCGCCAGATGGTCATCTAGATGCCACTTTACTGTATTTTTTATGACAACCTCAGTAAATGTATTTATAAATACAAAAATATGTACATCTTCCATTTACACCCGATGGTTGACTAAAGACTGGTTTAAGTCCATGTTCTAACATAATAGATAAGAAATTTTCTTTGATTTTGGAGTTTTCATTAAGACATATGTTATAGTCTCCTATAATTAAATGACATATTATAAATTAATTAATTATCTAATAAATACTTTGACTCATCAACTAAGCGTCCTATCGTCTTCCATTACATTATCCTTCCATCGTTTCTTTGGTCTTCCTCTAGCTCTGACAGAATGGGACAGAGAGCTAGAGGAACTCTCTGTCCCATTCTACAATTCTCTTTACTTCTTTGACTCCCTGCCATGGTATGTTTTTACAAGTTGTACTATGTCCGCACTATAATCTATAATCTGGACCAATTAGTGATTCATTCTTATTCTCCACATTCCAGCACCATCTTGCATTCGTCTATATATCTTGCGCTGGACCCATATTTCAAAGATTCTTAATTTTTTTTTAAAGTCTCTGTTATTTAAGTCTGCAGAATATTTTACATTAAATGGTGTAAACCATTATAGAGTTTTCTTAGGAAGATTGTTCCAAGGGTAAGGGTGTGTAATTGTTGAGGGGAGGATTAGTGTAGAGACATGGCTTCATTCCTGGATCGAGTGAAGAGCCATAGTTTGAGTGGGCAGGATCACGTGACGTGTCCCAAATATAAATAAATCAGTAATTAGGAAACTAAAAATTAGATTCATCAGTAATTCATTCACGGGCCATAAACAGCGGGTTACATCTCGCCTTTTAAAAACTTTCACGCGAGCTAACACGTATTTTTGAATTCATTTTCGACGGATAATCACGCTTTCTAAACGCGACACCTCTACGCCAATCCATTACTATTCAAAATGTTTTGTAAGCTAACTTGTATTGAAATCGTTTAGTAGATATGAAAATGTGAGTTATTAATAATTATTAATTTTCATAGAATTTTTAATACATAATTTATTTACACATTTTTTTCTTTTTTCTTGTAGGAATAATAATTATAAATCGTCGTTTTTAACAACGTCCGGTACAGATGACATCCCGCTTCCACAACAAATACTCAACCCACAACCACCAAAAATCGAAAAATCTCATATTTTTAAAATAACTACTTTTAAAGGATTAAATTGGTGTGAACTTTGCGGAAATTTCTTGTGGGGATTTACTGCTCAAGGTGTCAAATGTGATGATTGCGGAATGATTGCTCATAGTAAGTCAGTATTTAAATTATTTTTATGTGATAACTAACCATTATAAAATAGCTAGATGTTCAGAAAAATTTCCGAATGATTGTGTGCCCGATTTAAAATACTTACGAGGGGTTTTTGGAATTGAACTAACAACGTTGCTCACAGCTCACGGTTCCGAATTACCTTTTGTTTTAACGAAATGTGTCGCAGAAGTTGAAGAAAGGGGTCTTCAAGTTGAAGGAATTTATCGTTTGAGTGGGTTTTATGAAGAAATTGATGCCATTAAAATGGCCCTTGATAAAGGTTAATTAATACTTTTCTTTAATGACTAGTTTTATTATTTAATCTTTGTGATTTTAGATGGAGAAAAAGCTGATTTGAGTCTTTCAAAATATCCAAATATAAATGTGATAACAGGAGCTTTAAAATTATATTTAAGACTGCTACCAATTCCTTTAATTACATTCCAAGTTCATCCACGCCTTATAGATGCAATTCGTAAGTATTTGAATCCATTTTAAATTTCTTTTATAATCTTTTAATACTTTTTAGAGCACAAAAACGTTGATTTACAAATTTCGTCTATAATCTTCTCATTGAAAGGTCTTCCCAAAGCTCATTATGACACATTAATGTTTATGATAAAGCACTTGGCAAAGTAAGTATATAAGTAGTGTTTAATTTTAGTATTTTATTTCTATTTGTGTTTTTTTGATAGAGTGGCATCATTTTCTTCTGTTAATAAAATGACGCCACACAATTTGGCCACTGTGTTCGCACCAACTTTAATTGGTCCACCAGAATCGACTGATTCTTGCATTCCAGACATCACCTGTGACATTCTCATGATTGAAACACTTATTGTCAATTGTAATAAAATTTTTAATATCGACCCAAAGTAATTTTCCAAAAAATTTAAATAATGGAGTATATTGTAGCTATTTTGATATGATACCGATTTTGATACAGAGTAAACTGTTTAATACTAAATGTTCATTAAACGAAAAGGTGTAGGTACTAAAGAAAATTGGATTTTGATTCTGTGATATGTTTAAACAGTATTAATTTTGATACTAATTTTCTTATAATTGATGTTATAAATTTGTTGGCTAAATTTTTTTTTGAAGATTTAGTATTGAGACGGTTTATGATTTTGATCTATGCGGAAGAAAAAGATTTAAATTGAATTCAATTTATTTAAAGTATATTGTTTTATATTTTTGTATAGTGGAATGAATCTAATCATTTAAACCATTTTTATTTTCATATGTTATGAATTTACAACCTCGTCGTCTTGAAGTGGATTATGCTATTCCCTAATATTTGTTGGAAAGTATTTTTCGCTTCTTGTTGTGAAACGTAGGGACCTTATTTAATTAAGAAAATAATTAAAAAAAGAAATAAATAAGAATCAATAAAAAAATCCTTAAAAAGATTTTAACACATGTAATAAGGTAATTTAATTTCCCTAATAGAAGGTAGAGAAACTTCCTTTAATATGTTAAATTCCTTTAATCTGCTCTTAATCACGGGATAATTCGCTCCTTACAAGTTCGATCAAGAGCGGGGAATCTCCAAAAAAATCTCAAACTCGTCAAGAGTTATGAACAGCTATCTTCCACAATATGGACCAGATCAAAATCAGATGATTGAGTGCTTTGAGCTGGTGTAATTTCTGTGAGTACAAAAGCAGAGTTCAGTGGTCGTGTACACTAAAAGAATGAGATGGTAAAGATATGGTTGTGAACATGAACAGACTAGGATGTTAGTATCTTTAAGATCATTTCTGTTATTTATTTCCCTGCTCAGAAAATTATTAAACTTGATGGGTTGTAATAGATAATAAATCAGAAGATGTGGAACAGCATTCTAAGCATTTTTTTAACAAACTGCTTCGTAGGTTTATGGATTATTATAACATTGTTAATCACTTCAGGTACAGATTTATTTCGAATTTTTATTTAGACTTTTATTTACAAATGTGTATTTTATTTATTTTATTTTTTTGTTTTCAGAAAAAGATGAATTATTTATTATCGTTTTTATTGTCATTGCTACATGAAATACATCTAAATAACTTATTTTATTTTACCAAAAATCCCGCTTGAAAATCTTCGTCGTTAATCACTTTTCTTCTTGCCACTGTTTGATCTTGAACATTTCCGACTCCATTCGCCGCTTGTTGGTATTTTTCATCAGAGTCTCCTCCGCCTCCATAAGCTCCGCCGCCATAGGCTCCGCCACCAAAGCCTCCACCACCAAAACCTCCACCGCCATAACCTCCACCACCAAAGCCTTTTCCGGCAAAGGCTGGTCCCGGAACGCCTCCACCTCCAACGATACCACCACCACCACCCATACCATAACAACCAGAACAACCTCCTGGTCCTCCACCAAATCCAGGTCCTCCGCCGAATCTTGGAGGTCTGGCACCTGGTCCCGCGAAAGGTCCGCTTGGTCTACCAAAACCTCCTGGCCCACCAAAACCTCCTGGTCCACCAAAACCTCCTGGCCCACCAAAACCTCCTGACCCACCAAAACCTCCTTCTCCGCCAAAACCTGCATTCTCTGTCTCATATTTGTTTATAACTTGATTTTGAACATTGCCTACTCCTTTTGCTGCTTGTTGCGCATTAAGTGCTTTCTTAGCGGTATTTTGTGGAGGACCAATACGAAGATTGGCAACTGCATTGTTTACATCTTCATCATTGAATAGTCCGTCCTCGTCATTAATGCTTTGGCTTTGAACGTTACCGGTTCCCGAAGCAGCTTGTTGAGCTCTAACTGGACCACCCATGGGAGAATAGCCATAACCATAACCGAAACCGTTGCTTGGCATATCATTATTGATGGCTTGTCTTTGAACATTTCCTACTCCTTGCGCTCCTTGCTGAACTTTCATACCATTCGTGTAGCCTCTGACACCCTGACTTTGAACATTATTAAGTCCCCGAGCGGCTTGTTGTACTCCCGAGGGCAAACCATAAAAATTTCCCCCCATATCTTCGTCATTAAAAACTATTCCTTTGTTAATGATTTCGTTTTGTGTATTTCCTCTTCCTTGAATTCCTTGTTGAGCTCTAATACCTTCACTGGGTGGTGGACTATAGGGATTGAATGCAAATCGAGCTTCTGCATCTTCATCACTCAGTAGTCTTAGATTTTGATTTTGTACGTTACCTACGCCTTGTGCCGCTTGTTGGATTCTTGCGTTTGGAGCATCTGCTAGTACAGGTTTACTTACTATAATAGGAACTTGTTTGTAAGTTGGATATGGCTGATATGGTTGATATGCGATTGGTTGTGGTGGGGGATTAGTTGTTGCACCGATATTACCATTAAAACCTAGATTAAATAACATTTCTTCATCGTTCAAAGCTTGGTTTTGTAATAAAGCGTTTAGATTATCTTCGTCGTGTATTGCTTGATTTTGAACATTGCCTACACCAGACGCTGCTTGTTGAACGCGATATCCCGAATAGTCATTTCCGCCTGGGAAATCATCATTTAAGGAATTTATTAAATTATCCATTGCAAAATTTCTTTTTCTAAAAAGTTGATTTTGATTATTTCCGTTTCCTATGGCTGCTTGTTGCACAGCATCGTTTCCCATATTAGACCCAAGTCCATTTTGTTGTATTAAATCAGATAGTGGTTGATCAGCTTGTGCGTTCATTGAACTAGACATATCCTGTTGCGCAAAAGCACCCTGTAATGCTGCATAGTCCAAAGGCCTTCTCTTAACTTGATTTTGGTTATTTCCATGTCCTAGAATTGCTTGTTGGCGCGCATCCTGTCCCATACCAAATCCCTGACCGCTTTGTGCTATTAAATCTAATAGCACTTGATCAGCTTGTGCGTTCATTAAATTGGAAACATCTTGCTGAGCTAAAGCACTCTGTAATGCTACTTGATCAAATGATTTACGAAATGCTTGGTTTTGATTATTTTTGTTCCCTATGATTGCTTGTTGTGCATCGCTTCCTAAATTAAAACCCTGTCCGCTTTGTTGTATTAAATCTAATAACGGTTGATCAGCTTGTGCGTTCATTAAATTGGAAACATCTTGCTGAGCTAAAGCACTTTGTAATGCTACTTGATCAAATGCTTTACGAAATCCTTGGTTTTGATTATTCGCGTTCCCTATAATTGCTTGTTGTGCATCGCTTCCTAAATTAAAACCCTGTCCGCTTTGTTGCATTAAATCTAATAACGGTTGATCAGCTTGTGCGCTCATTAAATTGGCAACATCCTGTTGAGCTAAAGCACCTTGTAATGCTATTTGATCAAATGTTTTTCGAAGCAATTGGTTTTGATTGTTCTTGTGTCCTACAATTGCTTGTTGTGCATCATTTCCCATGCCGAAACCATTAGCATTTTGTTGTAGGGAATCTGCTAGGAGTCGCCTAATTATTTGATTTTGTACATTTCCTACTCCTGAAGCTGCTTGTTGTGCAAAGAAATCGTTTGCTAAACCATGATTATTTGGGTTATCTGATAGTGCTCTTCCAGCTAGTTGATTTTGATTATTATAGTTTCCTATAACTGCTTGTTGAAAACCTCTTCCACCAACACCAGCGTTTTGTTTTATATAATCTGCTAATGATTGTTTAAGTAGTTGACTTTGTACATCACCCTGCCCTACTCCTTGTTGTGCAGAAATATCGTTAGCGGCCCCCATACCACGAACGCTTTGTTGTAGTAAATCTGATAGTGCTTGGCTCGATTGGCCAGGGAGTGCAGACAAACTGCTTGCTGCAAAATCATTTCTGCGTTTAATGTTTTGGCTTTGTACATTTCCTTGTCCACTAGCAGCTTGTTGGAAAGTATCTGATGCAAGGTTTTTGCTTCCGAAACCACTTTGTTGTAGCATATTCGATAGATCTTGATCAGCTTGTGCTTTCATGATGCCCACATTACTTGCATCATAAGCCATACCGCGGTTAATATTTTGGTTTTGAACATTGCCAGTTCCCGAAGCAGCTTGTTGAACGCCAAATCCACCAAATCGCAAGTTTGCATCTTCATCGTCTAACATCCTGTTTTGGGGAGAATCGAATATTGGCCGATTGTAAGGATTGTTCTGATAACTTAAGAGCAAGCATTGAAAGTAACCTGGATATCTACACCTTCGAGTAAGAGGCCCTAAAAGAAGAGATTATTATTATTAAAAACGTCAAAACACATAATGCTTGTTTAGTTGACTAAAAGAAAATTGGCAGTTGTCAGAATTATTTTTATTCAATTATTTATGAATTACAACAAAATATATTTAATTTAATGTCAAAATTAATGTGTTTACGGTTGCTTGTTGTATGCTTGACTCATCGTGTTACCGGCTCCTCCATTTGGTGCGTCAGATCCAGAATTTGCGAATTGTTGCATGTAAACAGGTTCGTACCGATTTCCAATATTTGATCCGAAATTAATGTTTGTTCGGATATCATGTATTCTATTCGCAACATCTCCCGCTCCACTATTATCTTGAAGTTTTGTATCAGCATCATCTTGATTCATTGGCATATCATTTTGCATACTCATATCGTTTGATACAGGAATATCAGCATCGTGATAATTGACTATTTGATTTTGTACATTGTTTGAACCAATAGTTGCTTGCATTGCGCGCTTTGCTTTTTTATCTATTTTATCCATATTAAGTATTTGATGTTGTTTGATACCTCTACCAATCGACGCTTGCGCAAAATGTTTATCATCGCTTAATTCTAAATTAGGTTTCTTTGGTGCATCACTCGATGAATCTTGTGATAAATCTTGTGACGCATTTTGTAATAAATCTTGCGATGCATCTCCATTATTAATAACATTTTCGGCTTGTTGAAGTTTTGCGTCATCTTGTCCCGAAACAACTTGATTTTGAATATTATCCATGCCTTGAGATGCTTGTTGTATCTTTACCGAATCGTCATTTGGGTTCACAACTTGTTCCATTTGAACATTATCCTTTGCACTATCATAACCTAAGGCTGAACTTCCGACATCCGAATTTAAAGTATCGATGCTTTTAGATACTGAATCGAAAGAAGACGCAAAGTTAGAGTCTCCATTAGGTTTTGTTTGATCAAGATCGTTTGAAGTGCTTGCGCCATATCCAAATTGATTTACGCTATCATAATTCATCGTATTTGATGATACTAAATTTGATGGTACATTATCTTGATTGTTTTGCTGCCCATTTGAAAATGAATTAGATCCATAATCACTTTGTTGATTTTGAGTACTTGTCAATGATTGTAATGGTTGATCGTTTCCAAACTGTTGTATACTATTTCTTTGAGGATCATATCCCATGTTTGCGTTTATGTTTTCGCGTGCGTTTCCGATACTAGGCAGTAACACATCTCTATTTGGTGGCAACA